TTAGTAAACCTAATGAGGTCTGCATCAATGTGGAAGACTAAGAGAACTGTTTGTTCCGGGGATCTTTTTTACCGCTACAGATGGTTTCAGGAGAGGCCACACCTGTAGTCACTTGATGGGGTTTCTCTGTGGATTGCTCCCTGATCACTTTTATCATTTAGTAAATTGTTTGGCCAATTGTTTACGAAAAAACTCAAACAAGAATCACACACCTTTGTAAGCAAGAATGCTATTCAACTACCCAAGACATGAATCGTAAGCTATATATAGTTTGTTCATTCTTTCAAGCACAATTTAAGTTAATTTACTAATACTTCTTTTCAAAATGTCCTATATAATTAGATTTGCGCCCTCAAGTATTACTATTTCACCGCTAAGAAGTGAAAACGTTTGCTGAGCGATAGTTTTTCCTGTTCTGACAATTTCAAACATTTGGATGTGTCAGCTTTACAGGACAATCTACAGCAGGTAGACTGGTCAGTTTGCTCACAACTTGAAGTGGATGCTCAGTGGGATTTCTTAATGTACACGGTCTTATGTGCTACAAAGCAGTCTGTTCCATTAACTGTCCCCAAAATCTACAAGCAACCTAAAATCATCAAGAACCACACTCTTCGTCTGCTGAGCTGCAAAAGATACTACTGAGTGGAATACAAATGAACTGGTGACAACAGAGCATACAAGCAATCTAAACAAGTAAGGAACATATGCACAAGGGTAATAAGAGAGGGCTGGCTTCAGTACCAGATAGAGCTTATAAATAAATTTGTATCCAATCCGAAAAACTTGTTCTGTCATGCAGCCTCTCCTCGACAGGTCAAAACTGGAGTTTGTAGACTACTAGGTTCGAATGGTCCAACCAACAACGATGGTGACGCCTCTGACCTTATGGAAGAACAGTACTGCCTGACATTTCAAACAACCCACATCAACTATACTGATGAAAGCTTCACCTACAACTCCTTAGGACTTTCAGAAGTGAACCTGGGCGCTGACTTCGTACACCGGAAATTAAAGCTCACAAGAAAGACACTGCTCCTGGTCCAGATAGGGGACATTTTACTATACTGGGGAAAGCAACTTCAAACTTGGCAGCACCTCATAGCATGATGTTCTCACACTCGCTAAACCGCGGTACATTACCAGGAAACTGGAAGCTGGCTCATATCACACTGATTTTCAATGGAGGTTGACTCAGAGAACCTTTAAGCTACCGACCGGTAGCAATCCTCTCCATACCCTCAAATATTATGGAGTCCCTGATATGTGAAGACCTACGTGGCCATCTACTATCCATAAACTTCTATTCACCCCAACAGCACAGTCTCGGAAAAAGTAATCATTGTATAACCAACTTGCTGACTGCAGTAGACAAATGGATGACCATCCTTGATCTCAAGGGGAGGGTTGACGTCATTTGCCTTGACTTCCCAAAAGCTTTTGATATGATCAGCCATATATGTCTTGTCGATAAGCTCGAACGATTAGGCACCATATCACCATTGATTGTCTGGCTTCTTCATATCTAACCGGTCGACTTTTTAAGATCAGGGTTTACTTCACTTTCTCTCAGGCTATGTAATGTCCTGGTGAAGCCCCCCAGAGTTCATTACTAGGACTTCTTTTCATGATTTATATAGGTGATCTTCCACAACAGGTATAATCAGATAAATAGGAATAATATATTTGTAAGACCTCAGGGAATTAATTTGAAGTAAAGGTATCATCAGGTTTATTACTTTTTGCTGATGGTGTGAAACTTTGGGTAGAGGTACGCAACCAATAAGATTGTAGCTGTAAATAATTCCCCAAAATCAATAGTTCATTAAGTGTTCGACATTGGATGCTGACCACGTGTTTAAGTGGACTTGTTTAGCCGAAGGCTTTCGGTCATGCATCCGCACCACATCACGTTTCAACTCGGCGTGGGACACAACTCCTACGTTTCATTAGCCAGCTCATAGAAAAGGTCCTCGATATATTGGTAACGAATCAAATATATCTTTCCTGCCTCTTCTCGTCTGACTTCTGATTTCTATCTGACTGGGAACGATCGAACATAGAAGGTGCTACTGGTAACTAGTTGTAAAATTAGAACATCCGTTGCATCCTCATTGGTGAACCCGACGTGATCTGGTACACCAAGTCAATATACTGTGAGTCTGTCCCATTTTGGAATATTTTTATTCATTGTTATTCTTTATTTGAATTTTATATATTGTGATGTACTTTTTTTCGCGAATTTTTTTTCTCGGATATATTTTAGACATTTTTCGTTATCTATATTACTATGACGGAACACTCTCCTAAGGTTCTTAAGTTTAAGTCTATTCCCCCTATTTCGATTCAGTTAACGCCATTTTGGCCCGACAATATCGAGTCCTGGTTCTGCTACTCAGAAGCCGATTTTAGCATGTACGGAATCACGGACTCGCGCACACGTTTCCTCGCGGTAGTTAAGGCGTTACCGCGCGAGTTTAACAGGTACGTAACACCTAGTACGTTTACTAGTGATGTTCCCGAACCTTACGAAATGCTTAAGCTATCGATTTTAAAACGAGGAGACCTAACTGATCGACAACGGTTAGACCAACTCCTTAACAATATCGACTTGCAACATAATTCTGCGACGGACATATTGCTTAGAATGAGAGAAGTCAACGAACTTTCGATGATGGCCTATTTAGACAACTTTTCTTGTCTAAACTCCCTCAACAGGTGCAGGCAGTGCTTGTTTCATTTCAAAACAATGCCATAGATGAACTAGCTGCATTTACCGATCGAATCTTGGAAATCACTCGATCTTCTAAGGCCGAGGTTTTTTCCGTCAAAGAAAAACCCCAATCGACCTCGACTGACATGGCCGAACTATGTCACACGCTTACACGATATCTTAGAGTTCGCAATGACCGTAGTCGGTCAAAAACCCCGCTTAGAAGCGCCTCACGTAAGCGATCTGGCTCTCGACCACGAGAGACAGACAATCCCGACTGGTGCTGGTATCATAACCAGTACGGTAAGTTTTCCAGAAATTGCAGGAAACCTTGCAATTATCCGACTTTAAAATCGACTGACAAGAATAAGATTTCGGGAAACTTCCCAGCCGGCACGCGTTAACGGCAACCGTAGCCGGCGAACACAGCCGCCTCTTATATGTCACGGATGTGACAACGAAAGTTCGCTACCTCGTCGATACCGGCGCAGAAGTTAGCGTTCTTCCAGCGAATTCCAACAACAGACTTCGCCAGTCTGTTTTAAGTTTACAGGCGGCAAACGGAAAACCGATCGCTACTTACGCTAAAAGGTACGTCTACCTTAACGTGGGTTTACGCAAACCCATACACTGGATTTTCGTGGTTGCAGATGTCTCTATGCCAATCATTGGTATAGACCTGTTACAACACCACAATCTACTAATCGACACACGCTCACGAAAGTTAATAGACGGAAACACTAAGTTATTTGTTAGCGTAACTCCTTGTTCTGGTTGCAGGTTATCCCCAGTCACAATTAAGCACACCATAGACCCCTTGTACCAATCAGTACTCGACAAATACCCCTGGATATACCAATCGCAATCGAAATTGCCTTGTGTAACCAGCAATGTTACACATCACATCACGACTACAGGAACACCTGTATTTTTGAAAGCTCGAAGACTCGCTCCCGAGAAGCTTAAGTTAGCTAAAAACGAATTCGACCACATGATGGACCTAGGGATAATTCGACCATCGAATAGTCCCTGGGACATCCCCATTGATCATGGCCCCTAAAAAGGACAGCAATGATTGGCGGCCAACTGGTGATTATCGGCGTCTGAATGCCAAAACCATTCGTTACCCGCTGCTTCATATTCACGATTTGACAGCTACCTTGAAAGGTACAACTATCTTTTCGAAAATCGATTTAGTTAGGGCTTATAATCAAATACCGATGGCAACCAACGACATTCCTAAAACCGCCATCATCACTCCCTTCGGTCTTCACGGATTCTTACGAATGCCTTTTGGTTTAAGAAATGCGGCTCAAACCTTCCAAAGGTTTATAGACGACGTCTTCCGAGGTCTCAACTTCGTACATGCGTATGTTGATGACTGTCTAATAGCAAGTCCGGACAGAGAATTACGTCTCAAGCATCTGGACATTGTTTTCGATCGATTCCAACGGCATGGCATTACTGTCAATATTCAGAAATGCCAAATCGGAACTAACTGCTTAGACTTCCTAGGACACACCATTGATGCCCAAGGCATTCGACCAATTAGGAGCAAAGTGGCGGCCATTCTGGATTACCCAGAACCGACCACGATCAAGCACTTACGAACTTTCAACGGACTTGTAAGTTTCTATAGACGGTTCATACCTAAATGCGCATCCCTTATGAAACCGTTAACCGATCAGCTTCGTGGAAATGCGAAATCAATCAGTTTAGACGACATAGCCCGTAAAGCATTTTCCACAGTTAAGGAACACATCGCTAAAGCAACCTTGCTTGCTCATCAGGACACTCAAGCGCCCATTAGTATCGCCGTAGACGCATCCGACTCAGCAATCGGAGGAGTCTTACAACAATGGGTTAAGAACTCGTGGCAACCTTTAGGATTTTTCTCGAGACGGTTGCTAGACGCTGAATCTAGGTACAGCACGTTCGGTAGGGAACTCCTAGCTATGTATTGTGCTGTACGGCATTTCCAACATTCATCGAAGGAAGAGAATTCACGCTTTTTACCGATCACAAACCTCTTACCTTCTCTTTAACTTTATCTTCAGACAAGTACTCACCGCGAGAGTCTCGACAACTCGACTACATTTCGCAGTTTACTTCAGACATACAACACATTTCTGGAGGAAACAATGTAGTCGCAGACGCCTTGTTTCGAATGAATTCCTTGAACAGTTTCCAAGGAATCGACCTTCTTAAACTCGCTCAGCTTCAAAAAGAAGACATTGATCTTCAGCATGAGTTATCCTCGACAACTCTTAAACTAAGTATTAGGCAGATGGGAACAGGTAAGGAAACCTTACTCTGTGACACATCTACAGGTATGGATCGTCCAATTGTACCAAAACATTATCGCCGCAACGTCTTCAATACGTTGCACAATCTTTCTCATCCAGGTGCTCGTGCAACAAACGAACTTATAGCCGAACGCTTTTGTTGGCCTGGTATGAATAAAGACGTGAGGGAGTGGGCACGCTCCTGTGTAAGCTGTCAGAAATGTAAGGTAATCAGACGCAACAAATGTCCCTTAGGTTCTTTCAAAACCCCTGACGCTCGTTTCGACCACGTCCATCTAGATTTGGTAGGACCCTTACCCGACTCGAACGGATACTCATATCTTCTAACATGCGTAGACCGTTTCACTCGATGGCCAGAAGCAGTACCGATTAAGGACATTACTGCTGAAACCGTGGCCCGCGCTTTCGTCGAACGATGGGTAGCGAATTTCGTCTGCCCTTCCACAATCACTACAGACCGCGGACGCCAATTCGAATCTGGACTTTTCCGTTGTCTCTCCTCACTTTTAGAAATCACGCGCTTCCGAACGACCGCCTACCACCCACAAGCAAACGGGTTGGCAAGACGTTTTCATCGACAATTAAAAACTTCATTATCAGCTTCAAACGTTTCACAGTGGACAGACGCTCTTCCACTCGTCTTGCTAGGTATCCGCAATGCAGTGAAAGCTGACATTGGATACACGGCATCTCAACTCGTTTACGGAACGACACTCCGACTCCCAGGAGAATTCGTGGATCCTTCAGCTTCTTCATTGAACATGGATCTAAACTCTTATACGAGTAGGCTTACAAACGCTATGCGTTCAGTTAAACCTGCTCACACTCGACCTCAATCAACTGATGTTTTCGTTCAACCTGACTTACGACATAGTACACACGTCTTCGTTCGTCGAGACTCACATCGACGACCCCTCGAATCAGCATACGAAGGACCCTTCAAAGTTCTTCAACGCGAACCTAAGTACTATGTAGTTGATAAGAACGGTACGAACGATAGCATCAGTATCGATCGACTCAAAGCTGCGTACCTAGAAGGAAACACTAGCTACGTCGATTTTCCTTCGGTACAAGCAAACGACACAGCTACTACACTCGTAGTACCCTACACGACAACCGACACACAACTTGATACTTCGTCAACGTCGATAGATAAACTTAAAACAACGCGTTCTGGAAGACGAGTAAGATTTCCAGAACATCTTAACGAATATTGCACGTAGGACATAAGCTTTATCTTGAATTACCCTTCCATAGTTCATTATAAAAAAAATTTTAATATGATAATTTTTTATTTATATAAAAAACCAAAAAAACAAAACATTTTTATCTTTTTTTGAGCGTACATATATATATTTTTTATATATAAAAAAAACAAAAAAAAACACTTTTTTCCTGATCACTTTTACGCCGTTTGTAAGTGTATTAGTTTATTTTTTTTCCGCTCATCTTGTGTCCCTACGCAAGTACGAGTGTATTTTCGACATGCACTCACACGTTTTATTTTTCCTCTTTTCCAGGACGGCTGGAAAAGAACGACGAAGTTTCGCAAGGAACCGAAATTTTCATTGTACTATATTTCTTTATTGCTATGTTGTACATTTTGGTCCCATAGTTTAAGGAAAGACGACCAGACGCTGCTAAACGAAGCAAGCTATCAGAAGAGTGTTTACCAACGACAAACTCGTTGGGTTTAAACTTCTGGCTGGTCACGTCTAAGGGGCATCACTACCTCACTAGGGGGGAGTGATCTGTAGCTGTAAATAATTCCCCAAAATCAATAGTTCATTAAGTGTTCGACATTGGATGCTGACCACGTGTTTAAGTGGACTTGTTTAGCCGAAGGCTTTCGGTCATGCATCCGCACCACATCACGTTTCAACTCGGCGTGGGACACAACTCCTACGTTTCATTAGCCAGCTCATAGAAAAGGTCCTCGATATATTGGTAACGAATCAAATATATCTTTCCTGCCTCTTCTCGTCTGACTTCTGATTTCTATCTGACTGGGAACGATCGAACATAGAAGGTGCTACTGGTAACTAGTTGTAAAATTAGAACATCCGTTGCATCCTCAAGATATACAGGCACTTCAGAACGATCTGACTCGACTCTATAGTTGTGCAAACGACAACTGACTCATCCCTAATAATTCAATATGTAAAGTAGCCCATCTGAAACGTGTTTCAGACCACAAATACAACTTAGGCAACCCCCTCCTACAGGAACCCAAGGTAAAAAACATCTAGGAGTATCGGCACCCTACGATCTAAAGTCTTACTCTAAATGAGACAAAAATGCCTTTCGAGTAAACCTTTCATGGGTAACATTGAAGAGCATTTTTGGTCAGTTCGATGGAAGAACTTTATATGTAATCTTCAGCAGTTTTATTCGCCACCATTTAGAGTGTGGAAAAATAGTACTTCTTCCCTCATTCCCAACGGATAAGGACACTCTGAAGTGTGTCCAACTGCGAGCCACGAAATCTGTTCAGGGACTCCAATTCAAGTCTTATGAAGAGTGCCTCCAATCACTGAGCGTTTATCCATTAGAACACAGGAGTCTTGAATTTGACCTTCTAATGACTTACAGCATCTTTATTACTTTTGAATATTACCTTAGACATCTATTTAAGCTTAGTACGAACACAAACCTTGGGGTTATATCCAGAAACCGGAGACACAACACAACAGAACATACTGTAGACACACCTTCTACTCCCTAGGGAGAGACAAATGCTGGAGTTCGCCGTCTGACGAAATAGTCCAAGCGATTTCCTAGGGCTCCTTTAGGAGAAAACTTGATATATTCTTAAGGACTGAGGACAGTACTTTACTATGTTCCACCAAATGTTTTCGTTTTCCTCTTTTACCGTTATTATACGTGGGTTCCTAGATGCAGGCATAGGTGATATACTGCTACTAAATACGGAAGCTCGTTAAGTGAAAGTTTCTTATATTTTGTCCAGAACCATTTGAACCACTTGAGTCTATTGTCATCTGTACCCTTTGACATGCTTTGAATAGGACGCGGAAAAACCCAATGTTACGGTACTTTCTCATGTTTTGTCGAAAGTCTCAGTATTATTGAGGTAGTTCAGTTTTCCTCCTACCTTTTCATCATTATCCTTCCATGAGAGATAACACCCAGAAATTGGAGACCTTACATAGCAGAACAGACTGCAGACACAACTTCTACTCCGTTAGAGTTGTCAAGTGCTGGAATTCGTTGCCGACTGGGCTAGTCCAAGCGACCTCCCAGGAGTCCTTTAAGAGGAAACTTGTCTTACTCTTAAGGACTAAGGATAACATATTATTATGATTTACCAAATTCTTTTTTCCTCTATTATCGTTCATATACCTAGGTTTTTGCCTGAAGGTATTGGTGATCCACTGCTACCAGACACGGAAGCCCGTTAAGCGAAAGCTTCTTCTATTCCGTCCTCAACCATTTGAACCATGTGTACCTAGCATTAAGTATGGTCATTTGAAAACTGCTCTTTCACTTGCGAAATAACTTTATTTTCAAAGCGTTAACGCATTCCTGTTACATACAACTTACGAATGTATATCAGTGGATCCTTGTAAGGAGTTCATCTGTTTCTCTCATGGTTTTTCGACTTTCTGGACCACTCATGTGATATTCGTTTCGATGACCTTAAGACTGCAACCTAACTGTTTGAGGGCTTGTTTTGTTCCTCTGTTTCGTAGCAAACACAAGCTGAAGACTTAATCGAAACTATCTAGACAAAGGTAACACCAAGTAATAAAGCTTCATTTTACAGTCCATGGGTGGGCATTTTGTAGTCAGCATCGTTAGGTTCTTATTTAGCGTCTGGTGGAATTTTAGTTTCTGTCTTGTTGTTTTGTATTGAATGAACCTCATAGGATTAGCTGAGCAGCTTTTTGAACAAAGGCTACTTCGCACGTGGATATGAAGGATCCACGGAGGAGAGTTGGAAAACCGTGATTCCAAACCAGTGGTGCACACGGGCTCCACGATCCCGAAGGAACAAGGGACGTGTGAACTAATTATTGGCCGCTAGCTACCATGGGACTGCATCACCTAGCGATGTTCCACTGCCTTGTGGACCAGACCTTTAGGTCTAAGGCTCTGGGTGTGGCCTGCTGAGAAAACCACCTGCTTCGGTCTGAGCACCTGGGTAGTATCACAGCCCACGCGTAAATGAAGTGGCTTGTGTGGCGCATATGTATTTGGTGCCCCTTTGTATCAATATTTATGTGCTCAAATAAACTCTCTAAGGGCTTCACGCCATCAATCCGGGCAAAGAGACCGTCCTTCAAAGCCAAGAGCTTGCCAATGCTTGTTCTACCCGACTTTAAAAATAAGCAGACTATAAAAAGCTATTGTTTTGTATCGCGATCAGTATGTAGTGAAATTAGCTATAATAATCTTAACTTAACCAAACTTTAGACTTGTAATAAAATTATGGTTGAGTTTGTGTTAGGCTAACTCTAGAGTTTCTATCGATAGAAATTTAGAATTTACATTTAGCTTAACTCGATAAACTATGAGTGAAATTAGTCTTAATGCCTAGTCGTTCCGGTTTATGAACTATGTGTTAACAAAACTGAGTTCTTTAACACTTTTCGGCGTTGCGCAATAGTGGAATGAAAATCGTCGTTTTAGGGAAGGTCAGGTCTAATCTTTGGTATTTATCATGATAATTTAGTTTTTGTTAAATGACTATAGAATGAGGAGTCCGTTGCATATTTAGATCAAAGTTACGTAGTATTTATATTTGCATTGGTTTCAGGTTTTATTTGCTCTTGGTCCTATATAATGTCAAAGCTACCAGTTTTTGCTAAATCGTTAGCTGATATGGGACACAAACGAGTTAGAAAAAACCCTCGCATTTATCCAAAAGCAAAAGGTTTGTGATATATCTTAAATGCATTTTGCACAGGAAAGTTTCTCAAAGTACGACAACCTACCCCAGTTGATCCAGTGGAAGATGCACTTTCCAAAAAGTGGTGGGTTGATTATCGATTACAATATGATGCCGTCAGGTTAGTTTAGTATTTATCACTTATTTACTTTTAGGAGTCTTTTTCAATATGAAATCTATCGTCATCAAATGGAAGCCATCTCTGCCTCACGAATAGATCATGAAACTGAACGTAATAGACGTCATGAGCTAACGGAAACGTGGAACAAAGAGACCTTTCTACTAGCCACAGATAAATTTGAAAGGCTCCTAAAAGCATTGGTTGATAAACAAACTGATAGACTAACTGATTTCCAAAATAAACAAGCAAAGTCGTCAGACAAATTAAAAGCTGACCTTGATGCAGTAGCTGTAAGTTTGATTGTTTTTGTTAAATATATGTGTGTATATTAAGCACTTTTATGGTAGGACACGTATCCCGACATTAGTTACGGTGTAAATAAGCCATATCTATTCTTGATTATCCACATGTAAGTTCAAAGTACTTTTATAAGACTGGTAGAGACCTGTGCACGCACTCACCCTTAGTTGTAAGCCGTTAAATATAGCCTAAAAGTTTCTGTATCTGGGTAGCTGTATGTGTGGTGGTGGCGTGTCAGCTGAGATCAATATACATATAGTAAAATCCAGAGCGGCCTATTGTAGTCCAGGCTATCTTATCACCATCGTTGTGTAAGTCTGGTTGTAAAAGGTCCGATTCACATTGCTTCGGTGAAAGCATTTCTGACCTGTACTTGCAAAACTTGATTTCTTTGATCTGAAGATATTATCAGACATGGCGCCAAATAGAAATAAATGTCTATCGTGCTACACTTCTCTCCCATATTCACACATATGGGAGCGATTTCTTTAGCTGAAAGGATTTTTTTGTGGTTATGTTTGTTATAATTTGTGACTTGAATGTCCTGTTAATGTTTGACGTGATAATACTGCCAATTAAAATACAGTGATCTATCGATCGGACCAGTGACACATAAAACCCACGCAAGCAGTCTAGAGTACTTGTCGGTCCTGCTTTTTGCCTAACCCAGCCAGTTAAGTCCAGAACACCAATCTCAGCCTCTGCGGTATGAATCGTTTATTCAAACATACTGTGTTTACATACCAACCAGACGGACCACATCGTACCATAAAATAGGAAACAACATTTGTACAAGATTTAGCCAAATGTGGCTGTGAATAAGGGAGGTAGTGGTTGATAGACAGGGCATAACTGAAGAATAGTAAATCGTATGACAATAGTCCATAGGTCAAAATAAAGACCATAATAAGAGGGACATGAGCATGAATATTTATTTAATTATACGATACAAATATGCGCATAGTATTGGTCCGTAAATGGACCCCAAAGTTACCATTCATTATTTTTATCGGGACATAACAATGTTTTCCTCAACTGGACTGTTTCTCCCATTATTTGCTATTTTCTTTCATTTATTTCTGTTCACTTATTTTTTCTATTATGCTCACTATCTTTCTTCTGTCTCTTCACTACCTCATTTTCGTATTTGTGTGTGGCATATTTATTTTCGTGTCCATTTGTGTCGAATCTTCATGTTTAAATATGTAAATATTTCTCGTTGCTATTGCCTGTCATCTTTCATAAGCTAGCTGATGCAACTCATTAATCAAGTTTAAGTACCCAAGTATAAACAATACTTTTATATGAAGGTTAGTTATGCCACATAATTACCCAGTCGGAAGTAGTTAAAGTATGGTCTGAGCTCACCAAAGTACATCGAAAAGCCGAGTTTTAAAAGCTCATTCACAACTCTAAATGCTCCATGGAAGTATTTATAGTCTTTCTGAAAATCATCTCAATGATTACATAAATTTTCGAATAACCTTTCATTTTTGGATACTAAAGATAAAATGACATTTTTCATTAGTCCTTTGAAATTATAATTCACTACCACACACTTATTTTTTTTACAGACATTAACTGGACAGATGATTACGGAAACAAATTTAGATGATAAAATTGACGAAATCATGAATTGTGATGTTGTTGATTATAACTTCGTGATTGACCTCAGTGGTAATATTGTTCGAGGAACAAAACCAATTAACAACGAACTTCATAAAGTCGGTGTAGAGGGAAATATACAGGAAGAACCTTTTTCTGCTACATCGTGAATCCTTGTAGAAAGTTTTTCTCACGTTCTCGGTCGTTTTTGTGCATGAGTATATTCGATAATTAGTACTATATATACTTTGTAAATATAAAAAATACACCCATTTACTTCATATTATATGTTCACTTTAAAATTTAATCATCTGTACGTTATTTCGAGGGTAAAACTGTTTAGAATATATGATGCTTTTGTTTACGTTACATTAACCTAAATAGGTGAATCCCAAGTCCCTCTATAGTTCTATCCGGAATCCCTTTAAATATCGGCAATCACTACCAATGTGGTTAACTTAACAGTTGGTTTTTATTTATTTTCAAAACACACTTGTAACAATGTTTCATTTGAATATCATATTGGTCAACTAGTGGGTCCGAGTTTTAAAATTCAATTTTTATCTACAGAAGTGTTGGGGGCTGATTAATATCATCATTCCTCACTGAATATGTGGCTCATAGTCCAGTACACTGAACTTTGCAAAAAAAACCATTCAGCCCAGGTTTGTCATACACGGTTTTCAGAAACTTTTCTTGTCTGAGAATTGATGCGACTAAGTGCCTAAATTAAAACAGATGGAGGGATGATCTAACCCACAACCAACTAATTAAAGGTCGATTACTATAATAATTAAATCACCGCTCCCTAAGTTATGCATTGTAGTGGCTGGTTTTATATCAAACCAACATAGGCTATTCTAGCTTATGGACAGAGCAACTTATTCGTTTTTCTCAAGCTACATTTTGACCTTGGCACCTATTTGTTTACTAACCGTGACTTTTTATATGTGTGCGTGTATTACCTATTCATCACATGTCTGTAACTTATTTCTGTCTAACTATAAATATTGAGTCACGCTTGGTTGAATCGAGTCGGCTCACATGCCTTCCATACGTTTCGCTTCGTTTACCTGATTGTCTGTTCGGATCAACGATTGCATGGAATATACGTAATAAAGACCATTCTCGTGTTTGGCCTATTTTAATTCCGTTATTCTCTAACGCGAGTTAAGTCAATGGTTATATACGAGGGTAGCCAGAATGTATATTTCGATCGCAATCAGCAGATCGATCTAACTGGAGTCAGACACAGGGCCACAACATAAACCATGTTTTTTACCATATTCGTAAGTGGATTACATTATCCAACTGATCTATTTTAGTTAGAAGATATGTGGAGTGGTTGCTTATATATTCGCACTTTGAAATGTTGGAAATCTTAAGAAACCTTTAGTTTTTATTGTCAACAACTACAAACTTGAGTTAATTCAATCATCGGTTATTGATACTCATGTAGAATAACATTATTTTGTTATAGATAGTTTAAAGTTTGACCAACCAGTTTAACTTGATGGTTCATTCCCGAAAACCTTCATGGATGATCTCCCGACCTTAATAGTAAGTTTAGTTGATAATATTAGCTAGAGTCTTGGATATAGATGTCATCCTAACTTACAAGTCTCGATCTCTAGTTGTCCCAGTTTATAAGGGAGAACTAAAATCATATTGTGATGACTAGAGTGGGATCAGTTTGCCTAATAGTCTCTAAAATATTAGTCTTAATAGTTATCCAGTACGCGACTAAGGCTTGTAAACAGCAAAACCCTAGTTCCGAACCTTAATGTGTTTTGATTGATCATATAGTGATGCTCTGTCAGGTTTCTGAACAAGCCCACACGAATGTCTGACTTATAGATTACTAGCGTGGATGATCTGTGTCGAATGATCGGGTGCTTACACGAGTTAAACGGGAATGGTGTGACGAATTAGTTAATTTCGAAGCCACACATCGTGGTCAGTACCTAACGTGGATTACTCTTTCGTCGTATCAAGGTACCATGACTACTTTTTAAGACCGTACAACACAAAGAACGTTATTGTAGTAACATATTAGTGAGAGTAGGTACAAGGAAAAGATTACGACCACCACTGCATGAGACAGTTCATTACGTACGATGAATTGATGCGCATTGGTTGTCCTTGAACTTGACAAGAATCAGTGAACTGTTTGACATTCAGTGACCAGACTGCTGAATAATTTAGCTAGGGCCCAGTTACGTTTCACTGGCCCTATAGACTAGTGATATATCCTGACTTGAGAGCACCACTTTACCCCATTTACCGAAATACCGGAAGTATCTGTCTTTGAAAGGTGTACCGAAGAAGCACATAAACATTGTGAAGTCTCCTTATTCAAACAATACCGGTCGATTCACAAATACTGGTGAATTGATCTCCCGGGGTTCGACCTCGCACCGGGAGGTTTGCTTATTGACAGAATACTCAGGTGGGGAGGTTCTTTTTGGTCTACATAAATACAGTCGTCTGACCAACTTTACAGCCCTGTTTGGGGCTCATTTCACTTCCTGTCTAAGCAAGATGTTGCTTCTGGGTCGGTCTGCGTAAGAGCTCAAATTAATGGTTTTCAATGGTGAATTTGAACACGCCGACAGCTCCACTCAACTTGGAATCCTTATCAGCCATGGTAGGTTGGCTTCTGATGAGAATGACATGGATTCAGAAGGCTTGCTCTGAATGCCTGTCTGTCAACAAAAGGGAATATAAACTGAACATCATTTCGATCTATTTTACTTTTTGGCTATGGAATATGACCTTTAAAATGTGGGATATTCATAGGTTACCAGTAAGTGATCACAGTTGTTTTCTAAAGGTTGCACGCGAATGTTTTGATGACTGAGTGAGCAATACTAAGATCATATTCGTGTTGCTAAGCAAGGACGTCAAATCAATTGGTGATGTAGTGAAACTCGATCTCTCTAGGTAGTTAGGACTTGTATTACGTTTGTGTAGTTATTACCTGCCTCTGTGAACAGAGTTTACTGGTAACGTTTTAAATTAGGGGAAAGCTAGGCATAGCCAAGTCATAATGTGATATCGTTCAACGAGATCACTCTCTGTAAGTCTGGGACATGTCTGTTGGCGCTGACAACCTCTAGTTGAGGTCTGTGTGTTTGTCGTAATCAGTAGTTGGAAACGTTCGGTGACTTTGCTCAAAATCAATTAAAATGGTGCGGGCGCATGTACTATTTGCCCTCTCTTAGACTCCGAATTTCAAAATTCCTTTGTACATTTTGGTCTCTAATTCATTGTTATCTAAATATATTCTTTATCTCTAGTCAATTATTATCATTAACACTTCTACTACTTTATTTTAAACCTTGCTATTGTGTGACAGATTGAATTTTAGAGTGGTGACCTAACGATTAAGGTGTTCATCTTTTAGTTACTACGCCCGAGCTTCAAACCCTCACTTCACGTACTTCTATTTGGGCCACTGGATGGCATCATTAGCACGCACTTGGAAAATAACTCATACTCAAGTGCCTGGTGAGTGAGTTTACCTTTTCACCCTGAACTTATGCATATAAATGCCAAGTTCCGCGGTGTTTATGACTAGCTTTCATGAATATCTTTAGAACAGAACTAACAATGAACAACTCAGCAGTAAGTTGTTTGTCTTCTTCCGGCCTTCGACTGCAAAACGACCTTAAGTATTTACTTGCTTGTACCTGTTACTCGCAGTGGAGTAAAGACTGCTGAGCAGGGTTCTCTAACCCACTCTATCGTGGGCCTTCCTCTCTAGTCCTATCCAGTTGTTATTCATTCTTCTCATTTCTGTCTCCATTTCTCAGAGTAATGTGTTCTTTGGTCTCCCTCTTCTCCTTTGGCCTTGAGGATTCCAGGTGAGGGTTTGCTTTGTGACGCAATTGAGTGATTTCCTCGATGTATGTCTTATCCACTTCCAGCGCTTCCTCCGGATTTCTTCTTCCGCTGGATGGAATCTGGTTTGTTCCCTCCCACAGTAGGTTGTTGTTGATAGTGTCTGACCAACGAATCCGAAGTACTTTGCGTAGACAACCGTTAATAAACACTTGTATTTGCTGGGAGATGACTTTCGTAGTTCTTCAAGTTTCCATCCCATGTAGTAGAACTGTCTTGAATTTTGCATTGAAAATTCTCATTTTGGTGTTGGTTGACAATTGTTTTGAGTTTCATATGTTCTCCGATTGTAGATATGCTGCTCTTGCTTTGCCGATCCGCGCCTTCACATCTGCATCAGATCCATCTTGCTCATCAATGATGCTGCCCAGATATGTAAAGGTTTTCACATTCTCCAAAGCTTCTCCATCAAGTGTGATTTTGATTGATGCATGTTGTATTGTATCGGAGAGTCTTGCTTTTCCTTTTGTGTATGTTGAAACCTACTACTGCTGAGGCTGCTACTACACTGGTGGTCTCCTCCTGCATTTGTTGTTGCGTAGACTACAGAAGAGCCAGATCATCCGCAAAGTTTAGATCGTCCAACTGCATCCTAGCTGTTCACCGTATCCCGTATTTCCTCTCAGATATTGAAGACTTTGTAATCCCATCGTTCACCAAGCACAAGAGAAAGGGTGAGAGTGAGCAACCTTGCCTGACACTGGTCTTCACTTCGAACGAGTCTGTGAGCTTTCCACCATGCACGACTTTGCAGTTCAATCCATCATATGAATTCCGTATGTTGTTGACAAGCTTCTCAGGTACTCCTTAGTGTAGAAGAAGTCTTCATCGTGTTGTCGTGTCCACACTATGAAACGCTTTCTCATAGTCAATAAAGTTAATGTAGAGTGATGAATTACATCTAGTTGACTGTTCCATAATGATCGATAGTGTTGCGATTTGGTCAGTACACGATCAAGCCTTACAGAATCCAGCCTGTTGATCTCGAAGTTGGCGTCTACGGAGTCCTTCATTCTGTCTAACAACACCCTGTTGAAGACTTTTCCTGGAATTGAGAGAGGAGTGATGCCTCTGTAGTTATCAGACTTTCCGAGATCGCCTTTCTTCGGTATCTTGATCAGGCGTCCTTCTTTCTAGTCTGTTAATTTTATACAATATGGATGGAATAAACTAACAAGCCTTTGGTGACCTGATGATCTGACTCTAGTTCTGATAGATCTCTGAATATGTTGTGAATATAAATCTTCCATTTAACTCCGTATATGTAGTTTTGGCATAGTACTAGACACTACAAATCTTTCGACTAAAAGGGGATGGGCAATAAATGTAGGAATTAATAATCTACATTTCTAAATTATATTAAATACGTAGATTTGTAAAGCTATTAATTCATCCACTCAACGTTAAACATAGATTATGTCAATTGATTCGACTTCATGCTATCATTTTCGGTTAGACATAAGCAACGTAGAACCTGGTACAAATGTATATGGGTTCAGCATAACGAGATGAAATTACAAAAAAATCAGACTAATCAAAGGAGTGTCACAATCAGTGGTGGTAGGAAAGATTAGGCAAAGGAAATATGATTAACGTAGAAAGAATGAATTCATTGGGATAAGATTATATTGAAACTCAGTATCAAGGTAAGGACAAAAAGTGAGTACGTATGTCTCATTGTGATCGATTCCGAAATACGCTATTCAACTTCTCTAACTATCGATTGCAATAATTGCACCCAATCTGTTATTCTACGAATAGGAGTTACTTAAATTTACAACATACTTTTATGGAATTTCACGCTGTACATACTATTGATAGGTTAAGTAAATTTACTGACTTATTCACAGACATTTATTTGAACAAGATATGTGTTGAATATGGTTATTGACTTTAAAATATATTTAGACAAATTAACTGCGTGAAATATTAAGTATATAATTTGAAATTTTGGTATGACAGCATACAGAATAAAGTCCAGTCTTTAAAGGCCAAATGAAAAACGAACGCATAAACTGAATATTTAACAGTAAATTAACTACCACAGTAATCTCTGAATTATGTTACCTAAGATTACCAGTCACTTGTGGTTGATATTACTAAGATAGTAGTTGACAATACTTCAACTCACTTCTATAAGTTTGTTCATTGCTGTCGATGATGTTACCAACTTTAGCATCTATTGATTAATTAGTTACGTTGTGAAATTGATTGATCGTCCAATAGTGACTAATCTCATGTTTATCTAATATGGATAGAAATTTACCAAACAATTCTAATTGTGACCATTAGTTTAAATGACTCAAAATTGTTTGCTCTGTCTTGAGATGTCAGGTGGTGGATAACGTGTTAGACTGTGAACCGGTGCGACCTTGATTGTTCCCTTTAAGGTTCTAGGTATGCCTTGCTGCTCTAGTTGTCGGAATGGGCATCGGCCTCATGACTTCCGAAGGAACTCGGCTTTCGTCATGAAACGTCACAACTCTTCTAAATGAAGACTTTCTAACTCCCAGGGTAGAGTTTAAATGGTTTGAATTACTTTTTTGATTAACGCTTCTATAGCGGGTTAGTTTTATACGGGATGGGGTCGCCAACTCCGTGCCCAACACTCATTCTTTATCTGGACTTGGGATCAGCATTAACTCCAGAGTGGCTCCAGTCGGAGTTTAAAGTATATACTCCAACAACTTAAATATCACACTTTTCTTCAATCGTGACCCAGAAATGTGTTGATTCCTATATGTTGGTACGAGGTTTTGTACAATCACTTTCAAATTTTGCGCGACTCCAGGTGATATTGTTCAGAACCGGTTCAGTGTTGTAAATGCACTTGTCCGTTTGCTTTGATAACTATTATTAATTTTGAATTACTTTTTGTGTCATTACTTTTGTTAATTCTGTGTTTCTTTACTGACGTGAATTATCAAAACCTGGATAGAAATAGATTTTTCCAAAGTTGTAGGTTGTTTGTGTCTATGTCATGCCGTACAAACCTTAATCTCGTATGTTGTAAGTACGTTTTAATATGAATCTAGTGAGTTTCAGAGTGACAGATAGATTGTGTAAAGGTTACGGATTATTTATCATATTTTCCGAAAAAAATTGAACAACGTTGAAAATTTCCGGGGAAATGTACGACATAACTGATCAAATTTTCATGTCATTCATTAGTTCCTTCTCCGACATCTGGCTCTGTAGTTTCACTGTCTCTTTTCACAAAACAATCATGGAATCGAATTATTTTCGTTTTGTCACTTGTGCTTAGTGATGTTATTGGCTTTGTACTCCGAAATAAACACGTATATGTAACTCGATACTTCTTATTTATTTGTATTCATGATCTCCCCTCGACTCTGGATTTATCCTTAACAGCTCTAGTGTGAGTAACCATGAATTCTATTGACCTACCAAATGCTAATTCACTACACAAATATTGCGACAGACATTAAAGATGAATTTAACATTTGAATAAGTCTGCCAAATCAACCAAGGGGACGATAATTTTATGTTCACCAGGGGTTTACCCAAAGGTGGATTCCGACATTTCAATAGTAATTCATGACTTGTGCACTTTAACTATGTTGAACTTGAGACAGATATTATTAATGACTACAAATGTGACACTATATCTAAAACTGACCGAGTTCAATAAGTATCTACTATTGATCAATTTCGAGTTAATAGTCAGAAGACAACTTTTAAGACTAAGGACTTAGTCTTGGATGAGATCATAAGTGTTCGCAGTGATAAGGAGTGCGAAACAACAACCCAGTGTTTCTTGGTTTGCATCAGTTCTCTAAGTGAAGTCAGTATGTGTCAAAATCCATATCCAAGTAGTCAATTGTTAACTGTTTTTTTATAACTATATGAAAATCATGTTATTTCTGGGTTACAATTTGTTTGTCAGTGTTCATTCAGATCTACTGATTGGATAGCGAAATATATTGAAGATCACTGTGTTCTGTATGTGCAATGGTTTAGTAGTGAAACTTTTGTTATGATTCTGAACATTATCAGCAAATAATTTGGAGATGAACTTTTGAATTATGTGCAGGTGATGTCCATAAGGACGATGGGGGCTTCAAAAATAATCTACCCCGCCTAGAAAACAAAACACCCTCGTCCTAAGCTTCAAGTATTCTCCATATCAGTGGCTGATATTATGACCGAGAATTATGCTAAACATTAAAGTCATAGTTGACTGAAGAGTCCGTGACCTACAAACTGATTTCCTTCAATCGCCTATGGAATTTTATCATGCTCACCATTTGTTAATCTCTTTGTGTGCTATTTTGCCAAATGAAAAACATATTCTTCTGATTGGTATTCTTGTCTCTAATTTTAATCACTTAGAAGCTTACATCAATAATTCAGTCTCGTGAGTAGCCATCAATCAGAAATATTGTGACTTCGCAGATCATATATCGGTTAGTATTGTTTCCATTCATTTTTACGGTCGAAAATTCGTCCGTAAAATCATTAAAAGCTTCAATAATAATAGCAATTTATATCTGCTGGCTAAATGAGTCATATAAGGGTAGCAGTGAAACTTCTTTTGTGTTCCTTTAGTGTTCTCACCAACAAAATAATTAGCGTGATTGTTTTTAGCAAGACATATTCCAAGCAAATTGAACTGTCCACCACCTTACTCTGCACTCTCGATATCATATGGTTGATAACAAAAAGCATCAGTAAAATTCATTTTTGTTTTTCAATTAACCTAGATACATTTGATGAAATTATTACAGATGTTGACAGTGCTGGTGTCTTACTCTCACTCAGTAGTACTTCACTGTCCACTTATGTTTCTCCAACAGTTGCGATGTGTTGCATCCCTAACTATACCAATCAAAATATAGGTTTGCCACCTAGTTAGTTAAAGTAACTTTCCTTATTCTCTATGTCATAAGTCCGATTCGAATCTAATAATAAAATTTCTATGGAAGAAGAATCTCCACGACCATGAATACAGATTTTATAATCTTACTATAAATCGGTGGTTTACTGATTAAGTATCTGAATCTCGATCATTAAGTCAGAGGTTTAAATTTCAATTTGCATACTTTAACTTTAACAGCCATATGGTACCACTAGCCGTCACAGATAATATAGTCCATAACCCGCTCCATTTAAGCTGCATTTGACTTAACCATAAGTTTTTTTACCAAAAAGGAAGCAGAACAAGGAAATTAATCCAATATCTTAATACTTTGATTTATAACAGTGAAATTAACCATGATTGTAAGGTCAACCATATGTGCAGACAGTGTGTATTTTAAATATGTGAGTCAATGCATAGTTTTTCCCTACTTGAAAATAGGATGGTATCATTACATTTTTCAAAAAGTATTCTCGTAATCGATACTCTATTATTATTAGTGGTAGTAGTATTATTATTTTAAAAAAATTCGTTTTCATTTACATACGAATTTTCAGTCGCCTATTGGGTGATGACACACGACTATACGTTTTATTTGTATTCATAGATGGATGGTGTTTCGTTTCCAATTTTTGTAATTGACGTGTAACTCGACCAATTATTTCAGCTTGTGATAATGGACGGATTGATGTTGGTGTATTTTCATCATCATTAGTATCATCTTCATCTCTTAGAATATAAAAAAAATATAATTTTATATTAGTAGCATATTATAACCTGATGTATGCTACATAAATTTTTAGTTCAGCTAGTGGATCATGCATTGAAAAGTTAAAAATCATCGACGAATTGTTCTTATTCTGGATAAAACATTCGGCAAATGTATAAAGCATTAGAGTTTGGCAGTACACCGGTTCAGAGAATAACTAGGTTATTGAGCTTTAATAAGCACGAGATACAAGTAAGTATATTAAAGGCATACGAACTATCGTACACACATGATCAAGATTACACGTGAGTAATAAATAATGCCAAATAAATGTGTAATAGGGTAACTGGGATGATTAGTGTAATTTGTTTTCCCAGAAGTTAGAATAAATCTTTTAGACATTCAGCAATATGCGTTGCTTCATGTGAAAAAAATACAACATTGTCGTTGAGTATGCTTCAGACATTAATTAAGATTACAGAGTAAGTAGTTGAGATATTTATGAAAGTAATAATATTACTGACAGGAAAATATAGTGAAGATGCTGGGAATGATAAAAATAAAAAATACTTATATTCTGAAGAAATTCACATATTATTGGGAGGTATTCATATGGTTCATTATTCTTGGGTGCTTACATCATGCAAGTTGGAGCATACAAATGTGTAAGACTGAAATAAATAGCAAGCTTAAAAATATCCACATAAATGTATTTTACTCCAATAAAAATTGTCCTGACATTTCAAAAAAAATATCCACTTACTGTAAAGACGGTAATACAAGTGACGTATCTCTGTTTGTTCTCATGGTTTCCATGAAATTTGGTGCCAAAGTTATCTTCAGATTGTCTTGATTCATCTCATCATTATGTCCCTAAAATTTTATTATAGGATCTATTTCGTCAGTTCAGTAAATAACACAATACAAACTAATACAATGATTTGCTTAAACTAGATAGTTTTCATGTTTGAAATTGTGAATTTATTTTATGGTAAAGTATGTCTATTATATATAAACTGGAATAATTTCATAGTAATACGGAGTGGAAACTGTTGGAACTGACAAATCCTATCAACTTATTTCATAGGTATCAATACCAAGGTTGGACTTCATAGTTTCAAATAAATTCAGCATTGGGTAGAGAGTTAATAATAAATGTATTTTGGTCATATCCCAATCAGTTGAAAAAATATACTTCTTACGTTTCGTTACTTAGTGCAAGCCACTTCTTCAGAGTAAATGAATGTTTACTCTGAAGTTGTGATAATGAAGTGAAAATAACTTTTTAGGTAATATCTGGGCCTCACCAAAGAGATGAATCTGGCATTAAGTACCAGATCGCTGGGACAGCCAAGAAAAGGGTGACAAAGCCTCCAGAGGCTCTCAAGTATCCGAAGAGACTCCGTCTAATCAGGACCCGATAGAGCCTTCTAGAATATCAACGTGGCATGCTTCGATTGGACGGCAGTATAACTTGCCTCCTTGTGGATTAGCTGACTCATAATGATGTTATAGCCAATACTAATAGCTATAAATACCCCATGTTTTTCTTTCCATTTTTGCTTCTTACTCCACAATCACTTCCTCGGCTTTTACCGTCTTTTGATTTGTGACTGTAGGGTTCTACATGTTCAAATGCCGTTAGTTGTGCGCCGTATCTGACGTAAAACGAAAAATTGACATAAACTTATCAGAACAGAATAAAACTCGTATCCCAAACGACACTGATAACTGTTACTAACTATGAACAAAATCAAATCACGTGCAATATCAAAGATGTCATAACAATAAGTGAGTGTTCTAGCACAGAGTGTTCAGGTTATAGGTAGTCTACAGGAAAAGTTGGTCCTAGATTTGGTGTTGCATGGCATTTGTCAGAAAGACATATGTACAATAATGAGGGAATCGGTTCTCCCTGGTGGACTCGATCTCTTGTCACTCGGATCTACAGTCACAGATGTCACTAATGAGGTATTCAGACCACGACTGACTTCCTGTATGTTTCTGGAAATTCTACAAATGAGAATAATAACTAGATTTTAAATGTTTCGAATAAAATATTATTACTATTTCTTACTTTATTTTGTGAATAACATTTGACTGTTAGTAATTCATCTACTCTTTGTTCTAACACGTTAAGATAAAGCATTAAATTTCTTTCGGTTATTTGATCACCATCACCGCCAAGCATTTCAGTTATTCGTGATAAATCACAACCAAGTTTTATGGTTAACTGTTTAATTTCTGTTTTAATTTGATCTAATAATTTATGTATATGCGTTGTACGATTTTCAGCTGTATTAGCTGCTTCTTTATCGGACTTGATTTGTGCCTAATCATTGTGAAAATATAAAGGGAGAAACTGCAAAGAATATGACATTTTACATTATCCAGTCAATCATAGACATAACGGCACCTAGCAAAAATGTATGTTTAAGACGATTAATCCCTTGATAAGTTTGGATTATACAATGAAAAGATAAAGGTTATTCAAACTATGTGATATATTTGCCAAAAACATTTCGAACAATCTGATCACAAATATACTCTTTAAGATACTGAACACGAAAGAGCAAAAGATCAGCTAAACAAACCAGAACGTAAGAGGAAACAATGATAATAATACTAACAAAGCACGCAATGTGAAAACCACTCTGGATAATAAATCAGGATTACAAGGGTAGGTTAGGGTGTTAGAGCAAACTGTTTCAAAAAATATAAAAAGGTTTCAGTTTTCGTTTAGCCAATTCTTCAACAAACGTTAGTATACACCATTTGAGTAACACCATAAAGTCTCTTGACATCAAGTGTACAACCAGTTTCAACCAAATGATTCTCAATGAAGGAAGATGGTTATCTATTCTCTGATCCTATTCGATCATTGGGGTTAACTGTTTTGACATTCACTTAAGTGTGTGATCAGTCTCCCTTGCATCTAAATCATTATTGCTCCTCCCTATGTCTGTGTTTCCACGCATACATGTAAAATTGATAGATACAATGCAATATGACATAAACTTTTACACGATGTTTGTGATTTTGCATTAACATAGACCCCTTTGATAATGATTAGTTGAACCGCTTAAAATGTCTTATAGCAAATTTGATTCTTCGCTTTGACATAAGAACATCTGAGTCGCCTCTGAATGGTGGAGCATCTACCATCGAGTTAACGGTATATCGTGTGTCAGGATATAATTAGCTCTGTTTGTAAGTTTAAAGACTGAATTTTGTAACTTACTAGCTCATAAGTGTTTTTCAGAGGTGAGTCGTATGAATGTTTACTTTTGGACGTATTTATCACTGATTCTTATAAACGCTCAGATAAAGATCCTACATTTGAATGTTTTAAGTTGGATGAATCTTAACAGGTTGTTGTCGACCTTAAATTTAATTGGGTAAGATGTCTTAAGCCTGAATAATCACTGTATACTTTGATCGCACACTTCTCATACTTTGATCGACCATGATTGTATATCATGCAGCAATGCGTCTTCACTACTGGTGTTATTGAACAAAACGAGGTGCATCATTATGATGTAGCTTAACTCCATAACTCTTTGTTGCTTATTTTTTTGAAACCATGACTAATATCTACCGAAGTCGTGAATTCGGGATTGAATTATATTTAGATGAGACCAAGGTTAAATGAGATCATAGGACATATCAAACGTTTAATTGCTACAGAAACGATGGCTATAAATATCAGTTTTATGAAGAATAAATTGTCAATTACCGAAGTCCGAGTGGAGATTCGTTCTGCTGATTAAGCTTAATGGGATGTCTCTTACGGAAGATAAGCATTTCCTTGTATGCTCTCCTACCATAAACATGAAGGAGTAAAAATAATTTGTCATTAAAACATGCAAGGCAACTTTCTGAACCAATAACTTTTGATGATAGGTTCTGAACAGTATGGATTTAATATAAAAAAAGTTGATTGCCCATAAAAACGTCATCTGTGGCTGATCCTTTTTGAGCTAGCCCATTGCTTCCGATAGTTTCATCAATAGCATCTCTACTTTATTCACAAGTTTCTCGAGATGACATCTCCATCCATATTGAGAAAAACCGAGAAGCGTCAACAAATTACATATCTACAGGAAAATATAATTTTATTCACTTCACCGTGCGTTTCCTTTTTCTTCAATAAAACTTACATTTTTCATTGATATTTGTTAAACTATTCAAGGTCGTTACGATTAGATGACTTGGTAAGGTACAATTTTTGTATCGGGATGTTTGAATTCACTTTTTAAATAACCCCAAGTCGAATATATCAGGCTTTGTTTTATAGAATTTTGATAGATTATATTTTTGTAAGAACCACTGGTATCCCCAATGCCGCTCAAATCAAAACAGATCAAACAAGATTGGAAACTATGGACAAGAGATCATATCTATTGATTTCCAACAATTAAGTTTCTGCTTTCAACTTTGATCTAACTACTTCAGTTTGAGGAATCAGGATAGTACCATTAGTCTTTACATAGAATGTGTATCTTAGTGATGACCACAAAAATGTATTCTTGATTCATGGATTGCCTTAATTGATAAATCAATAATTTTAATTTGCAAAATAAGTAGTAATACAAACAAAACGTACTTGTAATTCATTCATTCTATTAACTCTTTGCTTCTCAAAAACTTTTTGTTCTTCGTCGTATTCATTGATTGTTTTCTCTATGTTTATGATATTATCATTTAAGCATTCAATCTAGTCATTTATAATTTGTTTAAGTGTATTTTTTTACCTGATTATTTAATTCAGTCACATATTTAAACATTGTAAAGTTATCATCTTCATTACGTTTATAATATCTAGTCATTTGTTCAACATCAGATTTTCCAGTGATTAATTGCAAACGATTCATTGCTGATTCATATTCTTGGATTTTTAGACTTCTCTGTTGTTGTGCTATTTCACCAGTAGCACCTAAAATAAATTTTAAAAATTGAATTTAGTAATCATAATATTAATAATTTCATTTAGATATTCAGTAAACTACGGTGAATATAACTACGAAATGTGTTAGTGCATCACTAAAGACAAACACTTCATTCAAGTATTTCTTCTGTGGCATTCAACAATTCAGATATTGAGTACAATGTTCGCTATTTCATACGAAAAGCAGAACTTTGCGAAATTAAGTTTCACTTCATTCTATCTTGAGAATACAACAAGATAACTAACTAGATGAAAAAAATATGCGTAAATGAACGGATTCCATTATTTCTATTTAAAACAATAGTTGTAAAAAATGTGAAAGTGGTTTCATCCAGTTCATAAACTTTAAATTCAATGAATTTTGGTTCCAGAGCAAATTTAATTAAAATGTAATTCAATATGTTAGATGATTTGAGGTAGTCAGCAAGAAACTCTGAAGCTAGTTTTCGTACTAGTAGGCATTATGATCAGTGAAAAATATGGTACAGTAAACACCACTTTTGTGGACGATGGTGAAATTTCGTGAAATGGTTGAAGTTAGACATTAACACCGTTGGTTGCCGGATCAGTGGTCTAGAGGTTAAGCGCTTGCGCGCGAGAGTAATAGGTCCTGGGTTCGAATTTCGCGAGGCGGGATCGTGGATACGCACTGCTGAGCAGTCTCACAATAGGACAATACGGCCGTCCAGTGCTTTCAGCATTTTCGTGGTGGTCTAGCTTCAATTGACTCATGAATTCAACCGTTAAATTACTTTTGTTACGGTTTTAAAATTCTATATTGTGACAGTTTCTGGTTATTTACAAACTAACGTGAAATCAACTCCATACTGAGTGAAATGGCTGAACACGACAAAGTTAACCACTCAATGTACTATAAAATAGTCACGAAATGTCAACCTCAGTCAGTTTAAGAAACTAGATAATCGTTTCCTTCAATGAGGCACTTTTGCATTTTTTACTTGATTGATTTCGTGTCCCAAAACACCTCATAAGAACTTGAAGGATGCCTATTAGAAGCAGTTTGTAGTTGAATTATAACAAATGATTTGTTGAATTCATTAATTTTCTATTGTAGTATCTGAAGTTTGTTTTAGCTGATCAAATAATATGGGAACACGAATTTTGAGATGATGGAGAAGGTTTGTGACTCAGGTGGATGATTTAGGTCGAGTTTTTTCTCTGAGCTGGATGATTTGGTAGTAAAGCCTTTGTTGTTCTTCTGAACAGGATCATCAGTACAAACTTCAGGTGGAAGCGAAGTGTTCGAATTTCTCCACATATGACTCAAAGCTTATCCTGGTTATTGTCGACCTTCAACCCGTCAATGTCTACTTTTTATTGATTGTATCTCTCTTTGATACATATGGAACCAAGAACCAAATTACTACCTTAGTGACCTCAGTTCCCAATGTTTAGTTGCATAACATCTTATTCTTAGAATTACAGATCCAATTTTGTCCTACTTTCTTGAGTTTTATCTGGACTACACACATTCAATCTTATACTCAGTACTTTTTATTGCTGGTATTATGTTTTTTCATCAGATAACATAGAAGTATTCAACCATTCAAACATCTCTTATAGTCCATTCATACTGATAGTTGTTTAATTAATCTTCATGTATGAGAATATATCTAATAATAATGATGATGCAATTATATCAGTTTGTAGTATTCCTTAAATCATCAAGTTTAGATATTCGTGAAAATTCTTCAGTTTGACTGAGGTTTATATGTTTCATACATTAGTCTATTGATTAATCTCTTATCTAGCAAAGGACTATTAGTTAAACAATATCGATATTAGAAGAAGGCAATACTTTTTTAAAAGTGAAATAGAAAAAAAATCTTAACATGATATGAAAACTGACAAATAATTAACAAGAAGGATACATATAGTTTATTCACTTTTCTAATCATAAACTCGAAATTACCAAACAACTGGACTCATTTAGGTGTCTAGGATTCTAATTTTCAGTTGTGAAACATAAGCATCCTAAATTTATTCTTGGTTATCAGTCGTCAGTTCATAAAACTGTGAAGTTGTATTTTCTTAATAATAATCCACTTAGTGAAAACTTGAAATAAAAACTTCCCTTTAGTCGCATAATAAGTAAGTTACTTTAAACAACGAATTATTACTACTTACCATATTTTCGTCTACGATTTTCTGCTTTTTGTTTCCATTCCAAACGTTCATCTGATTTAGTTACCATAAATTTTCTTAATTGATCATTATGATCAATAATTCTTTGTAAATCTTTAATTTCAGTTTCAAATCCAGCACTATCTTTATCATTTTTTTCTTTTAATGCATTACTTTTATTTTTTGCATCTGCCCTTAAATAAATGATTTAATTTTTTCAAAAAAAGAATAATTTTATAGAATTAATAATAATAGTAATTATCAGTAGGGGTTTTGTGGAGATTTCAGTATTTTTATAGTTGAAAGCATGAGTCAATTGAAGCTAGACTACTAGGGAAAACTGTCCAGGGCTTCCAGGTTTTCCTTGGCCGAGTGGATAACGTAATGGCCTTTCAAGCGAAAGGTACTGGGTTCGAGTCCCAGAGTGAACATCAACTCTAAGATGCAGGTACATCCAGATGACGAGTCCCAAATAGAACGAAACGCGCGTCCTGGATTCCACTGCTAGTCACTATCCATCTTTCCTTATAATGCTTGTGAATTAAGGCTATATCGAGGCAATACGCACAGTATGCACATATGGCCAATAAGAGACTGACTAGTTGCAGTCCTTAAAATCAAAGGGAAGATTCAAACAAACAATACTAAGTGAATATGAAAATAATAGTAATGATAATAATAGTAATAAAGTTACCTTTGATCATATGTAATATTTGCTTGTTGAATTAATTTTGTTTTTAATTTATTTAAATGTATTAATTTCTCTTTTAATTTTTGATGTATAGAATAATAAATATTTCGTTCATTTCGTGCACATTCTATTTCATGACGAATTTTATTATTATAAGCTAATGTATCACAAAATTTCATATTTTTCTATAAAAAAAAATTTTTTTTTCCAAAAATAATTTTTTTCTGGTTGACAACAATTACTTCATGTAAATTATTTTCCATAATTAATAATTTTTTCTCAATTTGTAATTTTAATTCAGCAGTTTCTGTTTCTTTTTTAGTTTGTATTAAACGAATTTGTTGTTTCTCTTGTATAAGATTTTCTATTTTACGTATCTATTTAATTAAAATTAATTAATTAAAACAATAAATAAGTAGTATGTTTCAATATTTACTTCATTATCTAAACGTTTTCCATAAGTTTTTAATTCATCAATTTGTAATTGTATATTATCTTGTTCTTGTAAAATTTGTTTTAATTGTTCAATACATTTCATATCTTGTTTTCTATTTTGAGCACTATCAACTAATGTTAGAAGACATTTAATTTCTTCGTTTTCTTTTTCTAAAATTTCCGTGGCTTTTCTACATTTTTTTTGGTAAAATAATGATGTATATGTTTAGAAAATATTGTTATAACATTACTTATATTTGCCTAGTTTAACAGTGAATTCTTCAGCTTGTTTTTGACGTTCATTTTGTAATATTCTTAATTGATTATGCAATCGTTCATATTCTTCAATTAATAGTAAATCAGTATTGTCTTCTTGTTCAGACTGAGCTGAAGTTGGCCTTGGCATTTTTCTGAAGAAATAATGTCAAACTAGATCTAAAATGAAAATTGTTAATGCTTATAATTGGATTATCATGTTGAACAGTAAAAATATTAGACAACAGTACAACTGCTTATTTCCCAAGGTGGTTGGAGGCAAGCTATCAGAAGTGACCAAAAATATGGTGAAATTTCTGTGTTTTATAGTCTTACAACTTTTATTTAGTTCTTTAGACCCCAGTTTTTGTGTATTCATCATATTAAACTTCTAGTTAATGGAGTAACGCCTATTTGAGTTTTGTGTACTGGGGAATCGGTAATTTATCCTGCTGTAACCGACATCAGAGAACAGAATGCAAATTAGTTCATAGATGAACATTTTTATGTTCGGTTCTCACCAGTGAATCAGCAATATAGATCTTGCCCTATTCCTTGCCATAGTACCGACTATACTGAAGGAATATGTGCTGCTCTTTACCAAGTAGAAAGTTGGACCACGACGCACTAAAAGTCTGATTTAGTTCCGTCACTTTTCATTTAGGAATAATATCTCGAAATTTTTATATTTTTACTTCCATAAACAGAATGAAAATTTAGTCATTATGCAGATGACATTTTATAATCGGAATTTAGGCATGATATACTTCCAAATTTATCAAACCAGTTTGCATTATGCCAAAAGGTACCACAGATAAATGTGTAATCTGGAAAATATCAATATCACAATGAAGCATATGACTGTTGGCACATAGTACTGGATCGATTGCAAAGCATGACAAATAGGAGTTGAGAAGGGAAATTGACCATGAATACAGTTGTCTTGAGTGCTATTAGAGATATAAAGGGAGCTCTTACTTACCAGTTGTCCACACCCTGTAAAGGTTCGTCTAGGGCTACCTAAAAATAAAAATTGGGTTAGAAGTGGTCTTAGTGACCTGAGAGCGTTACCACGGTGCCGAGGAGACAACTGCTTGAGACCGGTCACACATGACCCTTTTGTAGGTAATTTTCGTGTTATCTCCGTACTTGTTCGAACCTTACTGATGGAGACAAAAATCTGTGGGATATGGTGAGGTGTGCAATCCTAGGGTCAACCCTTCCTAATCCCACCCTTCCTTGTCGAAAGGTAGGATTGCTGTTATGCTGGTTGCCTGAGAGAAACACCTTACAGCTATCACACTTCTGCACAGTCAGCAGTAAAACTTCACCCTCGGACCTTTGGTATGGTGCTTTTAGTCTTATTGCTCTTTAACCAATCTGTCTGGGATGGCAGGACATTCATAAATGATTTTTTCAGACAGTATAGCCCGACTGATTCATCACAATAGGCAAGTCCGACCACCACGTCAAGGTAGCATCAACCGTAGGGTGAGTGATTTCAAACCTTGAAAATTAATGTAATAGGTTGGCAACAATTTGTCTATTAGTACTCTTGCCGGTTACTTGGAGATTTAGAAGGAAAATACACCAAAGAAAAGTGACAATGTATCGCAATTAAGTTTTTGAGATTAATTTTAAATTAGAAATGGTTCATTTAAAAGTATATTTAGCTTTTATCTGTCCTAAAAAACAAAAACCTTGCTAGTCAGCCGATAGCAACTGTTAAGAAGTAGTTTTTTTATAACTTCTCATTTTTACCTGAACAAGGAATATGAATGTTAGGAAGTTAGTGGATTTCCTTTACGTCAACAACCGTTAAATGTTTAGCAGGATCACATATATCTGATTTTTATTGAAACTAAAATCGTAAGTCTCATGAAATCTTCTCACGTATAAAAAGTCTCCTGAAAATTGGGAGTGCAACAAAAACTTCAGTCATGAAAATTACTGTAAACTAATGTTCCTCAAGAGATGATGCAAAATTACGTTTGGTGTATTCTTTATGAAAAAACGTCATCTATCATCATCGCATCGTTCATGGTAAATTGATTGAGGAAATTATAAAATAACGGATTAGATGACCTTAAAATTGATCTCAATGACTTATATTACTGGTCTGAGATATGCATAGTGCTTCTTAGCGTAACTATGACTTTATCTACATTGACCAACATGGTTATATCACTTACAAATTCAACTGAAAATCTCTGAACTAAGTTCCTTTTCATGAAGAATTGAGAACCATCGTAAACACATAGATTAATGACTACAGTTCCCTGGGATTCCATTGCACTTAAGTGTTTCCAAACGATATGAGCGGTAATAGTTTCATTGTTAGCAAGAAAAGGGTATCTTGAATGGTACTACAAGAAAGTAAGGTAAAAACTAAAAAAATACTCAATTCACAACTCCTTGTGCCCATGGCGACTGAAATTGTTAGGAAAAAGAATCCTAAGAACCGCAAAACATGTATTTCAAGGTTAGAAAAAGTTTGTCATAAACCTGCAAGAGAAGTTGCAATACAGCAAAAGGTGAAGATATTTCTGTAGACTTATTTTTCACAGGTTTAAGTAAACCCTTCAATAAGGACTTCCAACCAGGTCTTAAATTAAAACTGGAAGATTTCTGGACCGATTATGTAAACGTAGATTGTATAAGTGACTTTCTAATGATAGAAGACAGGAAGTACGAGTAAATAAGGCTCTATCTGACTAGGAATCTGTAGAAAGTAGGCTAGATTTGTTCAACTTAACTTCATTTCAAAGAAGAATAATTTCGAATTGAATCAATACCATATACAATCATTGAAATACTTCCACTGCACGCTAGAAATGTTAATAAGCCAGAACACATGCACAAAAATCTCATATATAAAGACTGTAAGAGCTAGTAGTCTGCACTATGCAGGAAAACGAACATTTACAAAAAGAAATAACAATGGGTGAGATAAATTGAAAAATGTCCAACTCGTAACTATGACAATGATGTAAGTCACTCAGAATTCAATACCATTCTGGTGAAATTGCCTAATATTGACAATCCTGAAACTCCGTGCATATTTTATATCTCTAAGTAAATTTGAGCAGGCTTTTATCAGATATACCCTTAGTATAATGGACAGATATATGCATTACAACAAATTTGATGTAAAACTTATGAGATTTGATAAAAGATGTCAAACTTGTAGCGATAAATAAATCCTCAAAATAAATAGCTGCGTAAGTTTTCGACATTGGATGCTGGTCATATTATTTTTAACGGACTCATTAGCTAAAGGCGCTCGGTCATACATCCTCACCAGATCACGAATGAGAACGCCGTGCTCAACTTCTTCTGAGATTGTTATTCACTTTAGATCAGTCACTTATCGATATATTAATAACCAACCAAGTATATCCTCCAAACCCCCTCACTTTTGAGTTTATTTCACTGGGTGGGGACGATTCTATCATAGGTGTTACTGAAAAAGTATTGTCAAACTACAATACCTGTAGCATCTTCATTGATTAGCCTTATGTGATCTGGCACATCAACCTATAAACTGTGCGGCTGTTCCTTTTTATAATTTCATAAAACATCGCTTTACTTTATTTTTTATACATTGTGATATTTTTTCGTATTTTTCCTTTGTTCATCCCTACACTTTAAATTCATTATGCTAGAACAGGCTCCTAGGCTACTTAAGATCAAGACCCTGACATCACCCTTCGTTTCAGCTAATGCCCTTTTGTCCAGACAATATCGAAGCTTGATTCTGCTACGCAGAAGCCGACTTCTGCGAACACGGCAGACTGGTCCACGCCACAATTCTTTGTGGTAGTAAAGACACTATCGCGCGATTTCATTAGGTACGCAACACTTAGTATGTTTACTAGTGATGTTTCGGAAGCTTACGAAACTCTAAAACGGTCCATTCTGAAACGCGGAGATCTAACCAATCGACAAAAGTTAGATCAACTCCTTGATAATATCGACCCGCAACATGGTTTTGCGACAGAAATGTTGCTAAGGATGAGAGAGGTTATCGGCCAAAGAACTTTCGATGAAGGCCTATTCAGACAAACTTTCTTGCCTAAACTTCCCAAACAGGTGCACGCAGTACTCGTCTCGTTTCAATAAAACACCATAGACGAGTTGGCTGCATCTGATGACCGCATCCTCGAAATCACGAAGTTCCTAATGCCGAGATATTTTCAGTTAAAGAAAAGCTTCAAGGGAAACATAATGACATTTCGGACCCATGCTATACATTGACACGTTTTCTTCGATTTCGCGATGACCACAATCGATCGCAAACCCCGCGAAGAAGCATTTCACGTAGGCGATCTGTCTCTAGACGACGAGAGACGGATAACCACGACTGTTAATGGCATCATAACCAGTGTGGGAAGTCTTCCAGAAACTGTAGGAAGCCGTGCAATTATCCGAATCCAAAGTGGAACAACACGAAAAGCAATCCGGGAAGCTTCCCAGCCGGCACGCGTTTACGTCAGCCGTAGCCGGCAAACATAGCCGTCACAGATGTGACGACGAAAGTTTGTTACCTCGTCGATACTGGCTCAGAAGTTAGCGTTCTTCCTGCAAATTCTAACTTCCGGCTTCACAAATCTGTTTTAAGCTTATAGTCGGCAAAGGAAAGCCAATCGCCACATATGGTAAAACGTACGGTTACCTTAACGTGGGTCTACGCAAATCTTTGTTGTCGCAGATGTTTCCATGCCAATCATCGGTATAGACCTGCTGTAACACCAAGATCTACTTTTTGATGTGCGCAAATGGAACGCTAGTGGACAGAAACACTAATTTGGCTGTTTGTGTAACTTCTTTTTCCGGTTGCAAATTATTCCCGGTCACAATTAGGCACATGATGGACTCACTCCATCAACCATTATGCGATAAGTACTCTGGGATATACAAACCACAACCGAAATCGCCGCGTGTAATCATCAATGTCACACATCACATCACGATGACAGGACCACCTATATTCTCAAAAGCACGCCAACTGTCTCCCGAGAAGCTGAGGTTGGCCAAAAACGAATTTCACGACGTGATAGAGTTAGGAATCGTTTGACCGTCAAACAGCCTATGGGCATCTCCGTTGCACATGGACAGCAATGATTGACGTTCAACTGGTGACTATCGGCGTTTGAATGCAAAATTCATTCCCGATCGTTACCCGTTGCCTCACAATCACGATTTGACAGCTACCGTGAAAGGTACAACTGTCTCTTCGCAAATTGATTTGGCTACTTACGATATTCCTAAAACCACTATCACCACTCCCTTCAATTTTTACGAATTTTAGCTAATGCCTTTCGGCCCAAGAAATGCTGCTCAAACCTTCCAAAGATTCATCGATGACTTTTATTTGAGGTCTCAACTTCGTACATGCGTGTGTTGATGACTGCTTGATAGGAAGTCCAAGCAGAGAATCCCATCTTCAGCATCTGGACATTGTTTTTGCACGACTGCAAAAGCATGACATTACTGTAAACATTCGGAAATCCCAAATCGAAACCGACTTCCTAGATTTTCTAGGACATACTATTGAGGCATCTGACCTCTGAGTAGCAAAGTGACGGCTATTCTGGATTACCCAGGACCGACCACCATCGGAGCACTGAGCACATTTTACAGCCTTGTAAGTTTCTTAAGACGGTTCATACCGAAATGCGCGTCCCTTACGATAGGGAACTCTTAGCTATCTATTTTGCTGTACGGCATTTACAACACTCTATCAAAGGCCAAGAATCCACGTTTTTTGCTGATCATAAACGCCTTATTTTCTCCTCAAATTCATCTTCATACAAGTACTCACATAGTGAGTCTCGACAACTGGACTTTATTTCGCAGTTTACTTCAGATATACAACACATTTCTGGAGCAAACAATGTAGCTGCAGACGCCTTGTCTCGTATAAGTTCCTTGCACACTTTCTAAAGAATCAACTTTCTTAAACTCGCTTAGCTTCAAAAAGAAGACAGCTCTTCGGCACGAGTTATCCTGATCAACCAGTAAACTGTGCATTAAACAGAAGGGAACAGGTAAGGAAACCTTACTACTTGACACATCTACAGGTAGGGATCGGTCAATAGTGTCGAAACATTATCGACGCAGCGTCTTCAATTCGTTGCACAGACTTTCTCACTCAGGTGTTCGTGCGACCATCAAATTTATGGCAGAACGATTTCGCTGGCCTGGTATGAATAAAAATGTGAGAGAGTGGGCACGCTCCTGTCTAAACTGCCAGAAATCTAAGGTAATCAGTTACAACAAATGTTCCTTAGGCTCGTTCAAAACTCCTGATACCAGTTTCGACCATGTTCATCTGGATTTGGTAGGACATTTACCAGATTCAAATGGATACTCTTATTTTTTACCCATTTCACTCGATGGCCAGAGGCAGTACCTATTAAGGGCATTACTGCTGAGACAGTGGCCAGCGCCTTCGTCGAACGATGGATAGCAAATTTCGGCTGCTCTTGAACTATCACTACAGACTGCGGACACAAATTCGAATATGAACTTTTCCGTTGTCCGATTACACTACAAGGGATCACTCACTCCGGAACGACCGTCTTCCAGCCACAGGAATACAGGTTGGTAGAACACTTACATTGACAAGTGAAAACGTTTCACTAAGGACCGATGCTCTTCCATCAGTCTTACCAGGCATTCTCAATGCAGTGAAAGCTGACATTTAATGCATTGCAGCTCTATGGAACGACATTTCGACTTCCAAGGGAATTCGTGTAACCTCAATCTCCTTTGGTGAATATGGATCTAAACTCCTACACGAGCAGGCTTTCAAACGCAATGCGCTCAGTTAAACCTATTTCCACTCGACTACACTCAATTGACGTTTTCGTTCAACTTGACTTACGACATAGTAAACATGTCTCCGTACTTTGAGACTCACATCGACGACCCTGTGAATCAGCATACGAAGGACTTTTCAAAGTTCTTCAGCGTGAACCTAAGTACTATAATTATCATTATTATAAGTTTTATTCAATATTATATTTTTGGTACAATATAGAATTCTCAGCACAAAGTACTTCAACAAGTTTCCGTTTATTACTTATTCGTCCTTCCTGACGGTAAATTTTGAGTGATTGCCAGTTAGACGTTAGCAGCCCAGTCAATCAACATCTGAATAATGTACATTCTTCTCACAGCATAATGACAGCAACCACAATATTTCTAATTAGGCCTTCTGTAACCTTTACAGCGAAAGGTTGTGCACTTTTCGGAGACGCAACTGAATATGTCGTGCAATTAATATCCATAATGATGTATTAAAACAAACAAAATTAGATAACTTATTGAAATATCCAAATGACAGGAACAGGTAGCCCAGATGTTTAAACAGTCGATAAGAACGTCACCATGGATAGCATCAGTATCGGTCGAATAAAAGCAGTGTATTTGAGAGAAAATAATATCCACGTCGATTTTCCCTCTGTACAATCAAACAACACGGCTCCTACACTTATAATACCTCATCCGACAGGCAACACGCATGTTGATGCTTCGGCAGTAGCTGAAAATAAACTTGAAACAACGCGTTCAGATTTCCAGAACATTTAAACGACTATTGCTCAAAAGACACTAGTTAACTTATGGAAGACCTACAGAATTTGTGGAGACCTTACAAGAACTCAGAGTGGTATTGTACACTAAGATAATGATTCTTGTTTTATTTCATTTACTTCGATCCGCTCACAGAAGTGAAGATGAACATCAGTTATGAGCAACGGAAGTTCGATAAAAAAAGCTGTTTATATTCTTGACATATCTCCTCGAGTATTTGAGACTATGACGACATAAGTATTTTGTGAATTTACACCCTCCGAACACATTAATTCTACGTTGGATCAATATTTTTAAACTGTAGCACATTAAAAAAAGTCCAAAGAATACAGGAAGTTGTACAGTGAGGAAATAATTGATGTGCAATTTGTTTTAGTACATATGACAGTTTAAACAAGTATGAATCTATGTGTTTAATGTATACTGGCCGAGCTAGGCGGGTTGTTCTAAGTCTTCGTCCCCTGCGCTCATAGTGCTGGATTTTCGTGTTGAGCTTTGCGGGTTGAAATAGCTTGCTATACTATAAGGTGTCCTTTTGTTTTCAAAGTGTTGAGGTTTACCATCCTCTCACTGGTATTTTTAATTGTGAGTTACCTTTTCGGCCTCTGATTTTCTACCCACCTTACAGTTTGGCACCAGTGGTTAGGATTATGATTCGTTATATGATTTAGAATCCTCCAAATTAAGTGTTGACTCAAACATTTTCTCAAATCAGGGCTTGATTCGTGAAGAAAGTATATCTGCAGCAAATGTTGACGAAACAAAGGTTTTTTATCTAGTGATCACTACTTTTATTCCGGCACATAGTGCTGTTTTGAAAATCCTAGTTATTGGTTGTTGTGACCAATGTATGTTCTAAAGCTGTAAAGTAGCAAATAAATTTGCCAGATATCTCGAGTTCTCCTCCGTCTGTAATTGCTTTTCAAATTAAATCGTGAGATCTCAGGTTTTTCGTAAAATTTTGATCATCGCTACTGGTGACATGAACAGGGATATAAAACCGCCGTGTTTGTGTGGAGAATGCGTTATCACTAGTATAGTGTAAGAAGAGGTGACGGAGGTAAATGTAATGTCTTATGACGTTAATTGTCTGGGATCGTTGCGTCGCCAGAGTTACTATACCGGTTTTCTGCATCCTAATGGCTCTTCATTCAGTCGGGATGATTGTCTAATAGTCCGTCGTTCCAGAGTCTTTTGCTCTGGCGGTTTTTCATCATTGTTTTCTTCAGGTTCTTCGAGGGTGGAGAGTGAAGAACCGTACGTGTGGAAATATAGTCAGCCAGTCAGTCACGACGTAGAACATCGTACGTACGTACATCAGTTCGAATTGTCATGCCACATCAGCACAGAGATACAGTTGTCGACTCGAATCCCATAGTGGTAGAAGTAGTAAGAGTATAAGCAGTAATTCGGAAAAAGAAAAAAAGAAAGAGACATAGAGAATTCAGAAGATTGGAATTCGGCAGAACAAAAAGAGTGGATGCACCTGAGCCTTTGCAAACGATTTTGAGCCATGTCATTCAAGGTCTTTAACCATCGATTGCTATTATCTCGCGGATCCCAACCAGGTAGTCTACATCTACCAACATGGCTCAGTCCACACACAAAATTCCCGTTGAACTACGTAAACGCGAAAGTAACTTAGTATTTACATGGGCTTACATAGTATGTAACAACTGCCATTTAATGACAAGACAGTGATCATTCAAATAATACTTTTACTGTTCTTCTGAAGGACCACCTAACTTTGTCACAATCTGGCTTACTGCTGTCATTTAAGTCTCCTTATAGCCATTCCTTGGTATGCAATTTATTTCACTGTCTTTCTGTAAGGGCTTCTCATTTGATCACACATACGCAATTAATGTCCTGTGAATTTCATAATGGCGTCTTGTTACTCTATCGTTAGCAAGCAATAGACGTGTTCACCAAATTGTTCTGTCACTCCAATCGTGTTGTCTTAGTTTCCCACTTGGTCACTCAGTCAATGTTATTGTTCAGGCTAGTTTCTGTATGCTAAAATACTGATGCGTCATTTCCCAGCAAAAGCAGAACCAGGTCTTACATTGCATAAATGTTATCGGTGTCTTCTATTTTCTTACGTCATTACCTGGTCAACCTTCGCCTTAACTGTTAATCACCCTTGTCCCAGCCTAGTAGTATTGATGGTGACAAACTTGAAACCGACAGCATCCGTAGACATTTTATAGCCATTTAGAGGTTCATGTAACAATGGTTCAGTTCAAAATAACTAAAAGTACCCATCACATCAAAACATTAATATATGAACGAGGAATATTCGACGAGAATATAACTTATGGACGACCTTTGAGCGACGCTCACGTGACCTTGAGAGTATTCACCTGCTTACTGAGGCTAAATGACGGTTTTAAGTCAATGTGGGGAGTCGTAATCGTGATTTGCAGTTTATGGTTAGAATTAGGAATCAAATCTAGGGTTTTTATCACGAACTGACAGCTAAGATGCCAAAATGCTATGTAGCCAATATGAATGAGTAAATTTCACGCCAAAATTCAAGACCTGTTATCTTGAATCTGATCTGTTCGTCCATAACTTAGTCCTGCTGAATATTATTTTCATTAGATTTTCTTCGGATTCTACAGTTGTGTATCCAAGCCAATAATCCAAAAAGTAATCAGGCTTAAGGCGAACTACATCGTTCAGAATCACAGCATGTGGATCTAGAATCATATAATAAAATTCCTGGTGAGATGACTAGTTCTCAATGTTAACTAGAATAGGCTTATACGTTAAATGTAATTGTAAGATTAATGGTTTTAATAAATATAGATTGGGTAGGGTGAGATAATTTATGGGATAGGATATTCTTTGTCTATTTATTAGTGTTATAAGTAACCTCGTTAGTATGTAATGTCTCGCTAGCCATTGTCACAATCCTCTGTGCTAATTCTGACTTGTTTGAGCAATATATTATTTCCTTAAGCGACTACGGTAAGTAGTAGAGTGATTACTTTCAACCCTGTACTTCTAGTTTTGACGTTTATTAGTCTTAACTGGCTTTCTCATAAATCCGTGGGTAAATTCCTAGTCAAGCTTCAATGGATGTGGTGGTCTTTCTGAGATCCTACAAATCGACTGGCTAATAGTATGCAAACAACTGACCATTATGCACTCTTGGAATATAGTTTCTAATCTGCGATTCGGCGAAATCCATACACTATATTTTCATATCAACCCCAAATGCCTAATAGTTTGGGGCCAACTAGTCGACCTTACCTGAGCTCTTCATGTTTCGGAGATAGCATTTACATGTAGTCATGGTAACTCCTTTGAACATTTAAATCAGTTGTCTAGTTTTACACGAAATATAGTCGTTCAGTCCACAGCAGCTGGTCCTGATGGATTGGCTCCAGAGGTCTTTAAATATGGTGGTCCAATTTTAGCGATTAGGTTGACTAATATTCTGGCTAAAATCTGGGAGACGGATGTAATCCCATCCGACTGGTCACAATCACTGATTGTCCCAATATATAAAAAGGGGTCAAAATCATCCTGCGATAACCATAGAGGGATTAGTCTGACTAACATAGTATCTAAAATACTAGCCTCAATAATTATCAGGCGCCTAACTAAAACTCGTGAACTGCAAACACGAGAAAATCAGGCTGGCTTCAGACCTGGTCGTGGCTGTATCGACCACATATTCACCATTCGTCAAGTTTTAGAGCACAGACATGCTTATCGGCGTCCGACAATGATAGTTTTTCTTGACTTGAAAGCAGCATTTGACTCTGTAGACCGATAGGTTCTGTGGCAGTGTCTGTCATTGAAAGGTGTACCTGAGAAGTACATAAACCTTTTGAAGGCTCTTTACTCGAACACTATTAATCGAGTGAGAGCTTATGGTGAACTGTCATATGATTTTACAACCTCAAGTGGTGTCCGTCAAGGCTGTCCACTATCCCCATTTTTGTTTAACTTCATTATAGACCTGTTGCTGCAAATGACACTCTCGTCGACTGAGTTTACAGGAATTGATCTCCTACCAGGGGGACCACTAAGCGACTTAGAATACGCAGATGACATAGTCCTGTTTGGTGAAGACGCTGACAAAATGCAGAGTCTTCTGTTGGAACTGAGTAATAATGCCAGGATGTTTGGGATGCGTTTCTCCCCATCCAAATGTAAATTGTTACTCCAGGACTGGCCTGCGTCAACACTCGAACTAAGGATAGGGAGTGAAGTAGTCGAACGCGTTGACAACTTCACTTATCTTGGAAGTCTGATCAGCCCTAATGGGTTGGTGTCTGACGAAATCTCAGCACGGATTCAAAAAGCTCGTTTGGCTTTTGCCAACTTACGTCACCTATGGCGAAGACGAGATATCCGTCTATCAATTAAGGGACGAGTATACTGCGCAGCAGTTCGCTCTGTTCTACTTTACGGCTGCGAAACATGGCCATTAAGAGTAGAAGATACTCGTAGGTTACTAGTATTTGACCACAGATGCCTTAGAAATATTGCTCGCATCTGCTGGGATCACCGAGTAAGTAATAGTGAGGTTAGACGCAGGGTATTAGGTAACGATGGTAAATCAGTTGATGAGGTGATAAATCTTCATCGACTGAGATGGTTGGGCCATGTGTTACGTATGCCTGAACACCGATTACCACGACGCGCTATGATGACTAGTATTGGGGACGGTTGGAAGAGAGTTAGGTGCGGCCAAACCAAAACATGGCATCAGTGTTTGAAGTCACTAACTTCTAGCCTGAGCCATGTTGGCAGATGCAGACTACCTGGTTGGGGTCCGCGTGACTATCGTAATAAATGGTTGGAGACTCTAGGTGACATGGCTCAGAATCGATCACAATGGCGTAGGTGTATACACTCTTTATCTTCCCTTAAACCTTGAGATTAAAATTGCTTCATATCTCTCTTCCTTCCTGTACTATATCCTTCTATACAATCTTTCTTTATATACTACCATCACTAAATTAATTGCTTCTATGAATCCGGTGTTCATCTTGTTGTGCTAAAGAGGTATGGCAACTTGGACCGATGCATATATGTGCCTGGTCCTACGTTGTAGCTGACTCACTGACTCAGTCCACCTGAATAGAATTCTTTATATGATATTAAAGACGTCTTTTCTTTTGTTTAAACAACTAATTTATGCAACAAAACTTTCAGGGAATGCAAGAGCAAGTATTAGAATAGTTTTATAAAAATAAAAGTTTAACTACCACGGAAATGTATTATACTGTCAAAGTTTTTATAGCCAATGGCAAAGCTTCACCCCTAGTTAATCGTTTTAAAGTCACACAAACTGTACGAACACAACCCAAAGTGGCTTCTCTTTAGCTTTTGAAACACGGTAAGCATTAATCGTTGATACCAGAAGTCATTGGTTGTAACATATCATTTATAGACTGATTTTCCAAGGTCACTGTCGAAAGCTTCGTTCTAAGATTAGTTATCTGATAGAGATGTTATCATTGTATCCCGAGGCATTCAACACTATCGCCACGCTACTCCCATAACAAAAGGTAACTAAATCAACACCCACTAGGTATATGGGCATGAGCCATACTGTGTAAGGCCTAACGATAGCATTGTTAATGACTCCGTCTTTTAATGGTTGCTTTGAAATAAGATAAAGTATGTTTTTTTATTATCTGTGCTATCAACAGTTTATGTGACACGAGGTTAGCATATTTAAATATCGGTATTATCATTTTTGTTATTATATGTTTAATGCTCATTGGTTTGGGTTTTCAGATGCCTCTTATCAGTACGAAGCTACATGTGTTGAACCCGGTATGGAGAAAAAAGAAACCTCGTGATAATGAGCAACACGAAGAACCTGATCCCAAACCAGCATTTATCGTCCCAGAAACACAAGAAATTTGTACATCTGCCGAGGAACTGCAGCGCAAAATTACTATATATAATGAAAATATATGGACTTGTCGTGTAACTGGGAAACCTAATTTGACTTATCGAGAAGCACTGAAAACTGAAGCAACTGCTATTCGAACACTAAAAAAGTGTTTTCCTAAGTTTTTTGAAAAAACTATCCTTGAACGCGTTCATCTAAGTAAGCTTATCTGCTCATAAATTTAACACTACTAAAGGTACTCTACCCCTGGAATCCTTAGTACACAGCTGCTGGACCACCATACATGAACAATTTCATATTGCGGAACCCGTAAAACTTAAAGTTGATTCTGTTTCTAATGCACCGTAAGTCCACTTGAAAATAAAAACATCGACTTAGAATACGTGGAATAATTGATGATATAATAAAATCTCAAACTGTACCGGTACGATGTGAATCCCTCCTAATTCATTCAATCTTAGACACCTGTTCCAGATAACACTTCACCGAATAATAGTGACAAAGAAAATGTGACTAAAAAGAATTCTCCTATCAAGGTAATTTTCAAACCTTTGTAAAGTATGTGTCTAGAAAAAGTACGCTTACAATGTTAAAGTCCTTTCGGATATCCCTGTTGTTGTACATGATGTTCCAGCCTGTTCCATTGAGTAAGATTTTCTCATAACTAGTTCTCATTATTTTAGCCGTATCAATCGAGCACCTTCCAAAGACCATATCAAAATGTTTATTCGAAGTCATGCTATGCGTTATGGACCAAATTTTACAGGTCCATGGATTGTTAACGAAGAGCTTTTACGACGTCATAAAATACCTTTAAAAAGCCCGGGATGTCAAGTTGATAAGGTTAAGGTATGTCTTGTCTACTGTTAATGTTTAATATCAATTACTTATGTAATCTTGTTACTCCTCGCGGAGGAGCGTAGGCCGCCCATCAGCACTCTCCATTCAACCCTGGCCTGAGCAATCCTTTCCAGTTGACTCTAGTTGCTATTCATTCTTTTGATATCTGCCTCCGGTTCTCTGAGCAATATGTTCTTTGGCCTTCCTCTTTCCCGCTTCCCTTCATCATTCCAAGATAAGGCTTCCTCGTGATTCAGCTTGGTGATTTCCGTAATGTATATCCTATCTACTTCAAATGTCTTTTCCTAATTTCCTCTTCAGCTGGAAGCTTATTTGTTCTCTCCCACGGTAGACTGTTGCTGATGATATCCGACCAACGGACATTGAGTATCTTGTGTAGACAATTGTTTATAAATACTTGTACGTTTTCGATTATGGTTGTAGTAGTTCTGCAAGTTTCAGTTCCGTGCAGTAGAACTGTCTTGATGTTCACATTAAAGATTCTGGCTTTCATGCTAGCTGACAGTTGTTTTGAGTTCCATATGTTCTTCAACTGTAGGAATTCTGTGCTTGTTTTGCCAATCCTCACATTTACGTCTGCATCAGATCCTTCTCGTTCATCGATGATGCTTCACAGATACGTGAAAGTTTCCACCTATTCCAGAGGCTCTCTATCAAGTGTGATTGGTTTGGTGCTCACTGTGTTGTATTTGAGGATCTTGCTTTTTCCTTTGTGTATGTTGAGGCCTAATAATGCAGAGGTTTAAGCTACACTGTTTTGACCTGCATTTGTTGATGTGTATGGAATAGAAGGGCAAGGTCATCTGCAAAGTCCGAATCGTCTAATTGATTCTAAGATGTTTATTCTATGTCGTGCTTCCCACCGGAGGTCGAGGTCTTCATAATCCAGTCAACCACTCGAAGCAAGCGAAAAAGGGGAGTAAGCAGGCTTGTCTGATACCAATCTTCACATGGAATGGGTCTGTTAGTTGTCCTCCATGCATCACTTTGCACTGTAGTTCGTCGTATGAATTCCGTATGATATAGACAATCTCCTCAGGAATTCCATAGTGTCGAAGAGGTTTCCATATTGTTCTCCTGTTCACTCTTTCAAACGCCTTCATATAGGCAATAAAGTTGATTTGTAGTGACGAGTTCCATCCAACTGATTGTTCCACGATGATCCATAGGGTCGCGGTTTAGTCTGTGCATGATCGATCCCTACAGAATCGGTCTGTTGGAAATTTGGCGTCTACTGAGTCTTCCATCCGGTCCAGCAACACCCTGCTGAAAACCTTACCTGGTGCCGACAACTGTATGACGCTTATGTAGTTCTTGTTTGCTCAGATCTTCATTCTTTGGTATCGTGATGAGGTTTCCTTCTTTCCAGTCTGTCTGTGGCACTTGTTCTTCTTCCCAAATCTTGGTGAATAGAATGTGGAACGTGTTTTGAGTTACTTCAATTTCTGACTTTAGTGCGTCAGCTGTATATTGTCAGGTCCTGCTGCTGGTGCCCCTTTGTACCGATATTTATGTGTTCATATAAATAATCAAGTAAAACTGAGCTTTATCGTCGTCGTTGCTATCACTGGTGGGTGCATGACATTGGATAACATTCATTTTGATTCTCCCCTTTTTTGTTTTGAACGATATTTTGATGATTCTGGATCCGTGAGATTCCCATCCTGCAAGTGCATTTCGTGCTTCTGTGGACAGAATTAGAGCAACTTCCTGAGTGTGTGAATCATTTTCCTCTTTGTGACCAGAGTACAGCAGCATCTCTCGTATCTAGCCTTTGCTGTCCAGTTTGGATTGAATGGGTTTCGCTTATTCCGAGTACTGTCAAGTTGTATCTCCTCATTTCCGTTGCTATTGACTGGTCATTCAGGTCTCCTACATTGTCCGGACATTCCGTGTACCTATAAAAATTGTTACTTTGGTTATTACAGGGGGCATCGACCTCGTGACTTCCGAAGAATCTCGGCTTTCATCATGAGGCGTCATAATTCTTCCTTCAACTCGGAGGGTAGAGTTCAAATGGTTTAATTTCTTTAATCTGGTTGGCGTTTTTTAGCAATATTTTTTCTACGGGATGCGGTTGCCGACCTCATGCCCAACCCTCCTCCTTTACCCGGGCTTGGGACCAGCAGTAACTCTAGAAGAGCTATTGGCGGAGTTATTGTTTAATATACCCATGTGAATGTTTCTTTATCAAATTACCTTACAATTTAGAAAACCTCATTTCATTCATGTCAGGACTTATGTTTCTCTGTTATTGATACGTAGCAATGAATCAGTCCACTGGCAGTTGGTTACTAGTGCTGATATCCATAATGTACGTTGTTGTAGCACTCTGGAGTCGTTTGGGTGTTTAAGAAAAAATAGTAGACTCATTGTTTAAAATATTTCTATTAAACTGCTGATTAACATTAACGATATGTGATCTTGATAACTCTAATTTGCTATCGATTTTTATAGTATATGCAGATTATCATGTTTTTTAATCGTCAATGATTGTTATAGTTAAAACAAATGTCCAAAGCCCTGGAGGAAGAATACTTTGCACGCGTTATGAACTCACGACGTCAGTCCAACGGAGAGGGTACGTCAGATGATGTTACCTCGAGCACACCACTTAATTTTAAACGTATCAAACGCTTTTCTGTTCTACGTGAAGACAACACTTCCAAGATGCTTGAAGAAAATGAAGATAATTTACCGCTAGCTCAGCTAAAAGATCGTTCTCAACCTAAACAATCATTGGAGGATAGTGGTAAGAAGAAAATGAAACAGGTTTGTTTTTGTGATACTTAGTTTTTAATTTGTGTTTGTTTTCTTTTTGAAAAAGTTCCAATTGTAAAATCTTTTTAGTCGTTTTAGGAAGTGATTTTTTTCGAGACATTTTCGTCTGTTTATGTTAGGTGGTTATAGGTATTTGGACGAAACCCTGAACCTAGGTTTCGTGTTAATTGATACTAGTCAACAAGGCGTACTTGGAGTCTTGTGTAAACAATCGGATTTGAACTCGCGTCACCCAACTTCAAGGTCTAATGCGTTATCGATGAGCTACTGGGACGACTACTGACCTGTAGGACTGAGGTGTTTATATTGATTGGTCATTAAGTAGTTGCCAACTCTATCCTCATTTATTCGCACTACCATTTTTATGATGTGTTATTTAAAAGTTTTGTGTCATTGGTTGATCGGTTCCTGACTTTAATGAATCGAAAGAAACGTTCAACATTTCAGAGTACTGAAAGTCGTATATTTTTAGCTTTGGAGTCAGCTAACAGTGGCTCAAATGATTTTTTAAAATAAAGTTTCATGCGGGGCAGGGTTGCTAACCCCATCCCCATTCTTCCTCATTTTTCCCGGATTGGGACAGAGGATCACCCTAGAAGGTCTACAGACAGAGCAGTAGGCCTCGATATACACAAGGGGAAAAGCAAGATCCTCAAATACAACACACGAGGAACAACATATAAGTAATTCATTGAGACACCCATTAGGTCCTTGGTTAATGACATTGTCAAAACAAGCAGCGGTTATAATATATGTAATAGAAGTTACTCTGTCAAGTATGTTAATAATCAAGCTACTTGGAAAGTCGTATAACCCCTATTTGATTTGTAATTACTTAATGTCGGCTGACATACAGAATTCTCACATTAACAGCCTTCGATGTGGGCTGAATTGTGAATTATGTTCGAGCAGCATCTTAAATAGTTCGTTCTTTCGAACTTGGGGTTCCTAAAATATACCCATTAAAGTAAGAAAAAACCCACTCAATATTTCCAGAGCATCACGCACGTAAAGTAACCACGAAGTAGGCTTTATATATCCTTTTGATGTTCTATATGTTTGACTATAATATACGTATACACTGGCGGCATGAGAAAAATACCTTTACCATCTCCTGTGGGCGAAGGGATTTCCTATTTAACTTTGTTGAAAAAGCTATCTAAGTGTTAGTTTCACTGCAGCTTGTCTATAATAATCATGCTAAATTATTTTCTACCTTTCATATTTACTTAATCAACACAGTCCACCTTATTTCAATTTGGTAAGAAAACTCCTACGAAAGATGAAATATCAGACAAATCAACAATCAATCGTCCTAAAAAGAATACTAATGAAAGAAGTGCATTACCACGAGTTGCTCAACATCTCATCAAAATGTTTGGAGAAAATCGTAATAATCCAGCCATAGAAACTCAGATAAGACTTTGTGCAAAATTCATAAGTGACATAGATATTCTTAAGTTGCCTGTTGAATTACGTGATCCTGTGCGATCAAAGAAAGAAGCGTTTGCGTTCAAAAAAAAGTTGTAAGTTCAACTCAATCTTTCAAATTTTGTGTTATTGTGTTACGAACATGTACTGATTCTTTTGTCATGTCCTAGAGATAATTGCTATAATATAATGTCCATCTATTCTGGATGATTTTAATAATTGCATTGGAGTTAAGTTTTATACGTGGAAATTCCTCTCCTTTGTGGAAAAGTTTGCACATGCGATTTTCCGTAAGCGTTCTATTTACTCAAGACTACCGTTCTCATCGTTCTCTAAGAACAGATATCTCTAAAAATATCAATCAAATGTGAACATCGATAGTCCGCTGTGTTTGATGATTGGATCAAAGTGCTTATTCGTGAAATCGTGTATTCGATGTGTTTCAATGCTAGTGTTGTAAATTCATAGTTAAGAAGTTTTTTATCTTCATTCTTTTCTTCCGTTTTTTTGTCTGAGAATTATCCTTCGAAAATTATCTTGTTTTTCTCCGATCTCCTCTATTACAACTAATTTTGCAAATACTTTTGGTGCTCTTGGTGTTTTTTGTTAATTTCATTCCCTCTTTGCCGACCTGGTGTGGCAACTTGAACTGATGTACATGTTGGTTATGACCTACTGACCTTGTTGTTCAGGCACTCATTTCTTATTCATTTCAGCAATTCTATCCTCTTATTGAATATTTCTAAGGAGAGTAACTCAGTTACTTCAGCTTTTTAAATCACCTATTCAACGCTTTTCTGAATGTTAAATACGCAAGTATTTCTTCATTATCATACCTCTCCTGTCTTTTTGATGAATTATTTATTGCATACTACAAATAGTGTACAATTTGTAATGTTGTTACTCAAGAATTATTTAATTAGTGTTTTAATTATCTACAATTTATGGACCTAGTATCGAGACTATTTAATCTGTGCTACACAAATCTCTTTCAGAATAAGCCGTCTTGGAACAATTTTTAGTAAATAACTTCGAGTCGGAAACATTAATTCTGGTTTTGAAATGATGTTTCTGGTTGTAAGCCGTTTGTTCATGGTGAATAAAACGTAATAATGAAGTATCTAAAAGACTCCACATCACCCTTGTATTTCTGATTACACTAATTTTGGGCTATGATTCAACCAGTGAAATAACTCCATGAAAAGGCTTGGTGACGTGTTTTTCATTTTTGATGAAGTGTAACCTGACTCTTATTACCTATATTTAATGTCCTCATCCTTATGATTTTGAATCTCTAGACTGGCTATGTCACCGACTCAACGAAAGGAAGCACTCCAAGAAATGAGAGAAAAGCAGAAAATTGAACGTACTCAAGCTAATAAATTGCTTGACGATCAACATCTTATGACTTCTTTGCCTCAGTGCCCTCGTTTACCTGAACCTTCCAAACTTGAACTTCCTCCTAGTTTCAATGAATCTTTGTTTGGACGCCTGTTAGGATTAACAGAATTTTTCCATATCTTCCATAGCTTACTTGTTGAAGGATCTGTTGATGATACCGAGGTAGAGAATCCATCTGAAAATAATGTTCTGTCTGGCTTTTGTCGCTTTCCAGTCGAATCTCCTGTAGCCGGAGTTGGTGAACCGGGTTATTCTGATGATGATGACAGTGGTAATACTGATGAAGAAGAGGAAGAAGCTGGATTGACTGAATCAAATGCTCCACTTCCGAAAATATGTATAAAGTCATTACGTCGTCTAGGATTGAAACGCTTACTTAACGCTATCACTACAAATAATCCATCAGCCGGTGCCTATCGATCACTAGCACGTCCTTTAAGTGTTCTATTACGCTTAGTCTTAAGAGATGAACAAATAGGGGTAAGTATTATATATTGTGTTAACAAAACTAACATATAATAATATTGTTTTAAACTAGGAACGTAACGTATTTCCATAACAACATTTATTCACATACTATTCATTTATCTCACGATAAATCACAGAGCGTATCGTTTTTCCAGTCCCGCAATAGAAGAAATACAACTTGTTTATCGCCTTCCCATTCGTGCATCTGAAGTACACTACTGATTGAACTGTATTCGAAGTTATAAGAATCGGCATTTCATTGGCCCCTAGTAATACCTCAGTTTGTGTAATTATGTAGCCTTTTTAGCTTTGCAACCCGATTTAAGTGTAAGATTTTCATTCTAAGACTTGTAGCAGGGGAAGTATAATCCTTTTAATAATCAGATGCTTATTTTTTAGTTGTCTGTATCTTATAGTGGTTGAAAATAGAAATAAACTTGATTATGAATTACACTTACAGTCAGAGTTGTAGCCAAGATTATTTTAACTTTTGAATGAACTTCAATAATGTTACTTTATATTCTTTTTATACGAATCTCAGCTCTTATCTGGCTCAAAACACCAGTTCATCTTTTGTGGTTTGATCTTCCATTGTGAGTAGATTTAGTCTTCGCTCAAAATAATACTGTGTGTACACTGGATTCTAAACTCGTACATATTGTCTGCACTATAATTTTTCATCATACCACCGTGATGTATCAAAAAAGCGAATGACGTGAACAATCCTCTGAAATTCACAATTCACAATTACAAAATCCCAAAAAAATTTACAGCAAAGAAAACTTTTCTTGCTAGTTTCGTTTCCCTAAAAGCTATACAGCAATTATGTTTGTATTAAGTGGTTAATAGTATTATAAATCCTTGCATATTAGCTTGGCTGTGTTCTCTCAGTGAACGAACCATCTGACTGATTCGATAGTGTTGTAAAACTTATAAAAGAAACTAAATATCAAAGACGAATACCTACAAATAGAAAGATCATGGTGTGGTACTTCAAGGAGGTTAGTAGAGGTCATTCATTAAATGTGTATAGGATTTGATTCAAAGTAATAAAATAATTCGTGAGTGACAGAAATTAGTTAATTGGAGTAGAAAATTGAGAAAGGATAAAAAATGTTTATAATTGGACGGTGAAGAAACAATGGAATATGAATTAAACTCAGAGGAAGTTACAAAAATGTAAGGGAAGCGACCACACCAACTGTTACTGTACACATAAGTTTGACTGCACTGTGTATCCCTAAAGTTTCTGCAATCAAAAATATGATGTCTAGACGTTCGTTTTTTTTGATAGATTTGGTTAGAACTTATTAATAATCTCAAGTGATGTGTCCGATATTGTGTCATTAAAATTACATTTTGTAGAATATACGATTCCACTCTTCATTGATTTTTACTGAACCATTCTAGAAGTTTACTTACTTGCCTATACGTACTAACATAAGGATTTTTTTGTCACGCTGAGAATGAAATTATTGGAAATCTCAACATAGAATATTACTTATAGTTTGGTTTCAACTGTAAGATAACTGAACTTTGTAAACATGCTATTGCGTTGTGCTTACTAATCAATCGGTATATACTTAATCCTAAAATTAGTATTAGAAAGATGATCATAAGCCTTTTTTCCAAACAATACGTGGTCATTTATTTTGGTCCAATTATTTTTTTAATCCTCAGAAAAAACGTGAGTTGGGCTTGAAACTGTCTAAATTCCCAGTTACACCGTATACAGCTCCTGAACTCCTTAGATTAACTCTTTTAAACGAAATTCCATCAAATCATGCTAGAACAACCGTATTGGAACAATTACAAAATCATGCTGTTCCAGTCGCCGATCCTAATGTAAGTGTCAAAATGTTTCTTTTACGTTATTTGGTCTGTTTGAGCAAGTGCAAGATATGATGTTATTTTCAGATTATTTATTTGAACCTTAATCTATTTTAAAACTGATAAAAACATGGGCAACTTTAGTGCTAATCCTTATGTTCCTTAAACATTAAATAAGTACAAATAATACAACAATCAAAAACGAATATTGTCCCTTGTAGAAAACGTCTACAGATAAATCGAACAGTATTGGATGACTCATTCACTACAGGGTAACAGTTAAATAATAAAACAAAGACCTAAAGTTAAGGTCAAGCCAGGTTATACTTTTGATTGGTCGAATCGTTCATTTTTCAAAAATAAATAACACTAAACGTACAATTCTTCCCAGCTGTTATCGTTCTGAATTCAATTATAGTGTTTACAAATGTCAGCTTTCATCATACTGAAATTTCCATGCAATTTGGATTTGTATCATATTCTCGTTTGCAAAATCTTTGGGTTCGTCCTCAGAGTATAAGACTTTAGTTTAGTTTCTGCATCAATAGATCTAGGACAGTGTAGGAAACAAAAACGCACATTTGCACTGAATAACAAATTCTTATTTGATCTCGTTAAGTTCTTATCAGTTAATTACCTGTTATGTTCAGATGTCAGTGATATAGATGAAATTTAAGATACTCTTGCAGGAGTGAAGTTGATCAAAAGTCAATGTTAACTTGTCAGTCGAAGTGGTGTTACAGGTTTGTATGCGGTTACCAGTTTCCTGAACCGGGAAAATGGAAACTTGATTAGTGATCAAAGAACCAAAGGAACAGCTTTTTTAGGCCGGTCAAAAAGCCTTATTGAGTGTAGCTCTTGTTATGTTAGCTTTATACTTTAAATACTTTGCCTCCGTCAACAAAAATCAGAAAGGGGTTCTGCTATGTTTAGCGTCGACCTTTTGTAACTCACTCCGGACGTGAAAAGGAAACCACTCCAGATCATTGTTGTTTTAGCGAAACTCTCTGTTATGGTCACACCATAGAACTATTGGGTGTACAATTTTTCTCCGGGACGTTAAGTTTCTGCTTTTAGTTGTATATTTCTTCAACGAACTAGGCTTATATGTTAGAATCTGAAGAAACGCTTATTCGAGTCACAATAACCTGGTCGGATCATCATGATAGGCGAATCCAGTCACCACGTCAAGTCAGCGGCTGCGGTTGAGCACCTTTCGCGATTTTTGTGTCATTCTTTCCCGAGAGTCATAGTAATCTTTGTATTTTCCGGATCTTAGTGTATGTACACCGGTAGGGCGAGTATGTACATTAACATAGTGAGGTATTTCCTTCAAACAACCAGCATAATAGCGATGCTGCCTTGTCTCAAAGGAAGGTTAAGGTTAGAAAAGATCGACACCAAAAGTGCACACATCTTTATCTCACGGATATCCTTCTCTATCAGTAAGGTCCCAACAAGTGCGGATCTAACACAAAGATTACTCGCAAAACGGTTTATTTATTATTTATTTAAACACATAAATATTGGTACAAGGAAGCACCAGCTACATATGCGCCTCACAAATCTCATTCGATTTGTGTGAGGGCTGTGATACTGCCCAGGTGCCCAGACTGAAGCAGGTGGTTTTCTTAGGGGGCTACACCCGGAGCCTTTGACCTGAATGTCTGATCCACAAGGCAGTGGAGCATTGTGAGGAGATGCAGTCCCATGGTAGCCGGTGATCAACGGTTGATTCGTACGCCATTTGTTCCCTCAGAATACTGGAGCCCATGTGCACCACTGGTTTGGAATCAGGGTTTTCCAACTCCCCTGGGTGGACTTTTCGTGTCCACCAACCCGGTTAAAGTGCCGGACATTCGCTTTTCGTCCTCTCACTTTCGTAAACAACAGTAATGCCACGAGAAGGCAGTAAGTAGGACTTCCTTGGCAGAGGCTATATATTCGCTGGCCATATGAGAGCATTTCGAGAGGGAGAGGTGACTCTCCCTACTCTCGACCGTACCAGGGCATTTGGGGGACCTCAAGCAGTTGTTCCTTGGGCAATACGATCACGCCCTCAACTGTGACCCAATTTCCTTTTCAGGCACCTCTAGAAGAACCTATCCACGATGTGGGCAGCCGTAGAGAGATTAGTCCTTGAAGTCACCAACTTTTAGTCTGAGCCATGCTGGTAGATGCAGATTACTTGGTTAATGTCTGCGTAAATATCGTAACCAATGGTTGGAGACTCTGGGTGTCATGGCTCCGAATCTATCATAATGGCGTCGGTGTATACACTCTTTGTCTTCCTTAAACCTTGAGGTTAAAATTACTTTAAACCTTTCTTCCTACAAACTAATTCTTTCCCCTGTATTATATCTTTATATGCAATCATTTTTTTTACATATTACTACCATTGAAGCTGACGAATTCCAACTATCACAAAAAGTGTTCTCTAGCTTCCACTCCTAACCATAATTCAACTCTGCTTCGGAGGTAAACACGGTTTTCATTTTAAGCATTGGTGATAGACTACCTTTTCTGTATATTTTCTTTTTTTGAATAATCAGTCGATTGAGTCTATATCTAGAAAACCACCCATTTTGTCTTCAACTTTCTTTTTTTGCTCAGAATTCTTCTTTGACACAACTTATACACCAGTTATCAAACTCTGATCTACATGAACTATTCCCAGAAATACGTGTAATAGCTTTGGAATGGGCAGTGGATAAAATCTTCGATCTTGATCTTATAGATGATCATATTATGGCATGCCAACGTCGTGCAGCTGATGCTTGGCAAAGGAAAATTCAAGTATTACGTGATAAAAACTTACGAAAAAAAGATAAAAAAGATAATGCAAATGAAGCTAATAAAACCACTAATAATAATAATCTTAGCAATAATATATCTGCCAATCAACTTGATGAGTCAAAGTCTAAAACAGACACTCCTACCACTACTGCGGAGGATATCACTGAAAATGAAAGTAAGTTGTTCCTAAAAATGATTTGCTGGCTTGTTTAAATGAAAAAAAATGTAAAGATTATTCACAGCATAATTGAACATTTGACTTCCATATGTAATTAAAACAAATGTGATACGAACACTCTAAACTGTAACTATTGACCATTTCAGATGACTTGGCATCAATTGTAAAACGCAGACGAATTCTAGCTGCACGAGCAGTAATAGAAAGAGAAGAAAAAGAAAATCTAGAACGTCAACGCCGTCTGGAAATGGCTCAAGAACATGCTGAAGAACGTGCTATCAATACAGTTAGTCGGCTTTATGATATTCGGTCCACAGAAGCAAAATGTGTTCTGCGAAACAACCCTATCGGTTATGATAGATATTATCGTCGTGTTTGGTACTTCCGTTGTTCTCCGGATCGTTTGTTTTTAGAAGCTAATTGGGCTTCCTCAGGTATCATGTATTCGGTCGATTCATTTAAAAGTAATTGATGTTTCCTTAATATATTAATTTATGTATTGATATGGTACATTTGGGTGGTTTACTGCAATTTACTTTTTCGTAGTTTCTTCATACAATCTAGAATTTGGCACGCTTTTTATTTGTAGAAAATGAATCTGTCCCAATTACCACTTTGAGTGAAGAAACAATACCACAACCTGCTCATACTTTTGTAAAAAATGACACATTGAACGGTAACACTATTTCAAGTTCCTGGAGTAATTGGTATTTTTACGATCGTCCTGAACAGTTAGACGAATTGTTGAATTCATTGCTAACTCGTGGTGTTCGAGAAAGTCATTTAAAAAGTCAGTTGTTGGCAGATGGGTTTCTGGAATCACTTAAAAAAAGATGGAAAAGTGGTCTCTCAAATGGATTGGTACCTAAGGCTGACACAACAAATGGTACTCCTGGGAATATAGAAAAACGTCCATCTCACCATAAACGGTAAAGTTTGGATCTTTTATGATTCCTTGGCTAGTTATCTATTTATTTCTTCATTTTTTTTGGCATAAACGTTAAGTGTTATAATAATTATTTTAAGTATCAATATGTTTCAATGTTTTACTTCAATACTAATATAGTTGTAAATTGCTGGTGAGAAACCATGAAGTTATTCTACCTCAATTCGCCTGCTGGCTTTATTCAAATTTCTATACAGGGACTACTTGTATGGCACACAGCATTTAAGTTTAGTCATCCGAAACTTTTTGCATTTTCCACAAAGATAGGTTTTCTATCATTTTTTATTTTAAAACTATTTTCTTAATCTAACATTAGTTTTATGAGGCACTAGGAACTAAATTTGTGTATGTGGTTACGGGTTCTGACAAATTGTATTGCTTGTAGTCGGTTATCTTCTCACTTATTGACTTAGAATATGCCGATGACATAGTTCTATTTGGTACAGACGCTGACAAAATGCATAGTCTTCTGACCACCATAAGCAACAATGCAGACATGTTCGAAGTGCGATTCCCCCCACTCGAGGTGCAAAATGTTACTTCAGGATTGGGTTGCATCAGCACCTGAACTAATGATAGGGAGTGAAGTAGTAGAGCGTGTTAACCGCTTCACTTATCTTGGAAGTCTCATCAGCCCTTGTGGTCTGGTGTGTGACGAAATCTCAGCACGGATACAGAAGGCTTGTCTAGCTTTCGCCAACTTGCGTCATTTATGGCGTAGGTGAGGTATCCGTCCAGCAACCAAAGGACGGGTTTACTGCGCAACAGCTCGTTCTGTCCTACTTTACGGCTGTGAAACATGATCGGTAAGAGTAAAGGATATTCGTAGGCTACTAGTATTCTATCATAGGTGTCTTCGAAGCATTGCTCGTATATCCTGGGACCACCGGGTATGTGATGCAGTTGTTAGGATACAGGTACTAGGCAAGAATGACAAACTGATTGATGAAGTAGTGAAACTTCATCAGTTGAGATGGCTGGGAAATGTGTTACGTGTGCCCAACCACCGACTGCCCCGACGTGCGATGTTTTATGTTGTATGAGTAGGTTGGAAGAAAGCTAGAGGCGGCCAGAACAAAACGTAGCACAAATCCACGAAGTCACTGACAATTGGACTAAGCAATGTTGGTAGGTGTAGGCTACCTGGTTGGGATCCGTGAAATGATAGTAATTGATAGTTAGAGACCTTGAATGACATGGCTCAAAATCGTTTGCAAAGGCTCAGGTGCATCCACTCTTTTTGTTCTGCCCAATTCCAATCTTCTGAATTCTTCATGTCTCTATCTTTTTTTCTTTTTCCGAATTTATTTCACTGGATTATATTCCTTGAATAACATCTTCAAACCCTAATCTTTCGAATTACTGCTTATACTCTTACTACTTCTACCACTATGGGATTCGAGTCGACAACTGTATCTCTGTGCTGATGTGGTATGACAACTCGAACTGATGTACGTACGTACGAAGTTCTACATTGTGACTGACTGAGTAAGTCGGTTATCAGTTGCGTAATTGGCGGAACAACATTCTGTTCAGTGTGGAGTTAAAAGAACAATTTGTCAGTACAATTTGTTCTGTTTGGTTTCACATCCCAAAAATCTGTAATAAGAAAAGTGAAAACAGTCTATCCATGACATGCAAAATCTAAGGAGTAATTCTGTCTTTTCTTAGTTCTTGAATAGCTAGATTTTCACTGTGTGTAATCAATACCCGTTGATGAGTATTTGTTTGACAGCTTCGAGTTCAACGGACCAGTTGCGGTGTTAGACCCTAATTTTACACAATTTCAATTTACTTTGTAATGATTTAGTTTTCTATCATTAACAACAACGTAAAAATTTTTTTTGTTATAGCAATCTTCCTGCTGGAGCCGCTTTGGCAGGAGCATTGTTAAAAGTAAGTTTGATTACTTTTAATATGTGATTTTCTTAATTGAAAATGTTACTTTTGCCTGTTTTCTTTTGTTTATTGGTACTAGTTCATACAACGGTGTATTTTCCATATAATTTTGTCATAATTTATGTATGATAGGTTTTCAGTGTTAATTAGTCCCATATGCACCGTAGAATGTGATACATGTACAATTACTCAAGCTACTATACCACATAAAACCTCGAGGTAAAATTACCAAGATACATGTTAGCGTAGTAGAAGCAGTAGTAATGGAAAAGATTAGGTGTAGAAGAAAAAAAGTACGAAATTTCGGGTCTCAGATTCTAATGTGAGATGAATGCACCAGTGCCACTGCAAATAACTCTAAGTCGTATCACCTGATCCCTATCCGTTGGTTGGGACAGGTGAGTGGTCCCCAACCAGGTAATCTCCATCTACTTTCGTGATTCAGTCCAGCAGCCGATGACTTCGTGAACTGATAAAATGTTTTGATTTGCCTGTTGTTAGCTTTCTTCCAGCGTACCTTTCACATAATACTTATACTCTTACTACTTCTACCAATATGGGATTTGAATCGACAACTTCATCTCTGTGCTAATGTGGTATGGCAACTCGAACTGATGTACGTACGTACGTACGAAGTTCTACGTTGTGACTGACTGACTGACTTCCAGCGTACCACTTCCGACAACATTATGTGTCGACTCAGCATACGTAACACATCTAAGTCATCTTAGTTAATGTAAATTTACAACCTCATCAATTAATGTCCCACCTTTGCCTATTACCCTGTATCTAAACTCAACATTGCCCACTCGTTTTCTCCACGATGCGAAAGAAATATTTCGAAAACAATTGCAATCAAAAACCCGCAGCCGGTGCATGTTTTCTATTTTCATGGACTGTTTCATAGCCAGAGTAAAACACAGGCCACTACTGAGCAGTACATTCGCCCTTTAGTTAGCAGAAAGACATTTTGCCTACTCCGCAAGTTGGAAGAGCCCAACTGATCTTTGGGAATCTGTGTCGAGAATTCTTCAGATACCAAGCAGATACGCGCTTACATTGTTGCTCAAGTCTATCAGAAGGCTTCATCACCAAAATTTGCAGTGCAATAATTATATATACGCAGTCGGAGAAACAGTAGATTTTTTGTTTGTCATATATTTAAAGTTATTAAATACTTTTTAGTGATGTTAAGTTTAGTTGGGATTAATGTGGTGAAGCTTCAGAACTCTTATGTGAGCAGCTGAAATACGTTAGACAAAAATCTCCTAAAAGGTCACTAGAAATACTGTATTATAAATATTAATCCACTTGAAAGACTCAAATATTGTACCGCGAAGCTATGTGTTAACGAATCCGCTCAATGTACGGCACGGATAGTCCACAATAGATCATGTAAATGAATTCTACTTATTGAGTCATTAAGTTATTTGAAAAAAAGGTGTGGGGAAATCAATTCTAATCAAGATCATAAACACGTGACTAGAAATACAGATCGCAAGGATTTTGCAAGTAATAATATCTGCACTTTGTTAATCAAGTTGTCGGTTCATAAGTGGATCGTCTTTAACATTTACATTTGGTTTGCAATATACTGACATTATGTAATTACTCTTGTTTATTTTTAGAATATTTTAGATACTGAGGTTCGTCTAAGATCCGGTGGTCTCGGTGGTGTACCAGATTTTACAAAATGGCAAGAGCGTTTAGCACAAGTACAAACATCCTATGAAAGCCAACAAGAAACTCCTAATGTAAATTTGTCTTCAAAACCAAACCTGTTATCTTCACCCAGTCTATGTGAATTACCAAATAAAGCAGGACTTGTTAATGCTCTTATTGAAGTAGCTGAAAATATAATACCTCGCTTTTTAAACGTTCCTGATCTTTGCACTAAGTCAAATTTCAACTCCAATCAAAATGAAACAAATGATTGTCATAATATAAAAAACTCTTTTCCAGATCATGCACCATTTACTAGGTTTTCATCTGGAGAAGACTCAGACGCATCTGAAAGTAACGATCGTTCACAGGAACTGGAGAAAGCTGTTTTGGACCCTGAAGCTCATGAACTACGAACTCGTGCTTGGATAACAGCTTGGCGTACTGAAGTTCAAAACGCTCGTACACTGACCCGATTAAATCTTTTACATGTAATACTGCGGGAAGCTCGATTTAGTTTTACTTATATCTTCTTATAATTTTGTTGTTAATGATCTAAGTTAATATTATGAATTTATAAGTTCATATCAATTTTCTACATTTCAGTTTAGCTAATTAAGCGACTTATGTATAGTTGAGGTGTGCGCTACCTATGAGGATAGACATAAGAAGTATGTAGCAGGGATTGGGAGTGAAATACTTATCAGCAGAAGTGTGAAATGAAGAGAAGAGGAAAGAAACAGAGTAATTGGAATAACTACAGAATTTAAAGAATGATTGAGAATGTAAAGGACAACTAAATATAGATGTGCAGTTGATGTATTTAATATATGATTTTCATATTTTACTAAGGCACTGTGTAATTTCGCATAAAACAATAAATTGGTTTATCCCACTACATAATAAAAGATAACAATAGTCTATCACTGGTGTATTTACTTAATAATAAAGTGATTATTATTATTATTATAGATCACCAGTAAAATATTCTCATCTTAATATTAACTTGTGTTACTATCTTCTTTCGATAGATAAAAAGGTTTTGTACTGTTAACACACATTTCAACCAATCAGTTACTTAGTGGCTTTATTCATACTACCTCGTAAATAGTTTTATACAAGGGGTATTTGTAATGTATATCTATGTTTGTGATTTGTTGGTTCTTTCTTCAGTAAAATTACTTTTTCGTTTGATTATTATCAATACATAAACGTGTATTTTGCAAATAATTAAGGCGATGTCCATCATGATACTGTACTAACAAGCGGATGCTATCCATTTTATAAACGTACACAATCCATTCGCTATTTTCTTTTAAATACTGATGTGAATCTTCAAATTGCCCATGGATGATTCTGTACATAGTGTTGATTAAGTCTTAATTAACCTACTTTAGGAAGTGCCAATCATATATTTCAATTGTTCACATCCAGATAAAATCTGTCTGTAATATATCAAACATACATGACAAAATGTTTTGCAGTTTTGCTAAACAATGATAAGTTATATTCAATACCTAAGGAGTATATTTTCGAAAATTCCAATTATTCAACAAATATTCTGTCTACTAACCGGAAATTTTAAACTCCGTTTCACCGAAGGTTGATAATTTGCACGATAAAAAATGCTTGTCCTTTTTAATATGATGTGCATTCACTCCTTTATAACTAGGCATGTCTGGATGCATGTGTTCGCTGGGAAAAGTCGGTGGAAGATGCGCGCTGTCGTATTTGTCGTCGGAAAACAGATGATGATAATTTACTACTTTGTGACGGTTGTAATCTTGCTTTCCATCTCTACTGTTTACGTCCACCATTAAAACGTGTACCAACAGGTGATTGGTTCTGCCCTACTTGTGGACCAGCTTCCCGTGCCCTTGAAAAGCGTAAGCGTGAAGAACGTTTAGCTCGGTCTGCAAGACGACGAAAACGCGCTTTGTCATCTGATGATGAAGAACGATTAGATTCCGATAACAATGAAGAAAGTAGTGGTGAAAGTGAAGTTGCTCAAAAAATAAAACGTCGAAATCCCCGTTCGTCTCGATCCAAAGGCGGTAATGACTCTGGTGTGTTCAATAGAAAACGTTCAGTTAGTCCAGCCAATCGTAATTCAGGTAAAAATTTCCTTTTTTTTAACTGTCTATATTGTGTTTTTGACTGATATTAATTCGGTATTTGTTTTATTATTCAGCTTCATCTAGAAATATCAGGCACGATACATCCTGTCTTGTTTGTTCAGATTCAACTGGTGATTTAGTTCTATGTTCCAACTGTCCCAGTATATTCCATCTTGACTGTCATGATCCCCCATTGCACCATATTCCACGTGGATATGGTTGGCAGTGTTCTATTTGCCGATCGAATAAAAAACGTTCTACCATTACTTCTTATTTTCAAAGCAGAGAATATCGTCGGAAAACGTGAGTAGTATTGTATATTATTATTACATTAATCATCGTGTTAAAATTCACTAATGTATGGAATTATAACGATTGGTTATATGACTTACATATCGTTTCTTTACAGGAATATCACCTTATCTCACTGGATAAAGCCAAATTTGTTTACTTACTTACTCCTGTTGCTCCCAATGCAGCATAGTCCTCCAATCAGCATTCTCCAACCCACTCTGTCCTGGGCCTTCCTCTCTAGTTCTATCCAGTTGTTTTTCATTCTTCTCATTTCTGTCTCCATTTCTTGGGGTAACGTGTTTTTTGGTCTTCCTTCTCTCCTTTGGCCTTCAGGATTCCATGTGAGGGCTTGCCTTCTGGCTCAGTTGGGTGCTTTCCTTAATGTTTGTCCTATTCACTTCCAGCGCTTCTTCCTCCGCTGGATGGAATCTAATTTGTTCTCTCGCACAGTAGCTTGTTGCTGATAGTGTTTGGTTAAGGGATCTGAAGTACTTTGCGTAGACAACCGTTAATAAACACTTGTATCTTCTGGATGATGACTTTCGTAGTTCTTCAAGTTTCCATCCCATAGAGTAGAACTGTCTTCACATTTGTATTGAAAATTCTGACTTTGGTGTTGGTTGACAGTTGTTCTGAGTTTCAGATGTTCTTCAGTTTTAAATATGCTGCTCTTGCTTTGCCGATCCTCGCCCTCACATCTGCATCAGATCCATCTTGCTCATCAATGATGATGGCCAGATATGTAAAGGTTTCCACATCCTCCAAAGCTTCTCCGTCAAGTGTGATTTTGATTCAGTCAGTCAGCGACAACGTAGGACCAGGCACATATATGCATCGGTCCAAGTTGCCATACCTCGTTAGCACAACAAGATGAACACCGGGTTCATAAAAGTAATTAATTTAGTGGTGGTAGTATATAAAGAAAGGTTGTATATAAGGATATAGTATAGGAAGGAAAAAGGTTATGAAGCAATTTCAATCTCAAGGTTTAAGGGAAGATAAAGAATGTATACACCTACGCCATTGTGATCGATTCTGAGCCATGTCACATAGAGTCTCCAACCATTGGTTACGATATTCACGCGGACCCCAACCAGGTAGTCTGCATCTACCAACATGGCTCAAACTAAAAGTTAGTGACTTCAAGCCCTGATGCCATGTTTTGGTTTGGCCGCCCCTAAATCTCTTCCAACCATCCCCTACACTAGTCAGCATAGAGCGTCGTAGTAATCGGTGTTCAGGCATACGTAACACGTGACCCAAACACCTCAGTCTATGAAGATTCATGACCTCATCAACCGATTTACCATCATTCCCTAATACCCTATGTCTAACCTCACTATTACTTACCCGGTTATCCCAGCAGATGCGAGCAATATTTCTAAGGCATCTGTGGTCAAATACTAATAACTTACGAGTATTGTCTACCCTTGATGACCACGTTTCGTAGCCGTAAAGTAGAACAGAGCGAACTGCTGCTCAGTATACTCGTCCCTTAATTGATAGTCGGATATCTCGCCTTCGCCATAGGTGACGTAAGTTGGCAAAAGCCAAACGAGCTTTTTGAATCTGTGCTGAGATTTTGTCAGAGACCAACCCATTAGGGCTGATCAGACTTCCAAGATAAGTGAAGTTGTCGACGCGTTCGACTACTTCACTCCCTATCCTTAGTTCGGGTGTTGACGTAGGCCAGTCCTGGAGTAACAATTTACATTTAGATGGGGAGAAACGCATCCCAAACTTCCTGGCATTATTACTCAGTTCTAACAGAAGACTTTGCATTTTGTCAGCGTCTTCACCAAACAGGACTATGTCATCTGCGTATTCTAAGTCGATAAGTGAACCTCCTGGTAGAAGATCAATTCCTGAAAATCAGTCGACGAGAGTGTTATTTCCAGCAATAGGTCTATAATGAAGTTAAACAAAAATGGGGATAGTGGACAGCCTTGACGGACACCACTTAAGGTTGTAAAATCATATGACAGTTCGCCATAAACTCTCACTCGACTGGTAGTGTTCGAGTAAAGAGCCTTCACAAGGTTTATGTACTTCTCAGGTACACCTTTTAATGACAGACACTGCCACAGAACCTCTTGGTGTACAGAGTCAAATGATGCTTTCAAGTCTAGAAAAACTATCATTGTCGGACGCCAATAAGCATGTCTGTGCTCTAAAACTTGACAAACGGTCGATACAGCCACGACCAGGTCTGAAGCCAGCCTGATTTTCTCGTGTTTGCAGTTCACGAGTCTTAGTTAGGCGCCCGATAATTATTGAGGCTAGTATTTTAGGTGTTATGTTGGTCAGACTAATCCCTCTATGTTTATCACAGGATGATTTTTGGCCCCTTCTTATATATTGGGACAATCAGAGATTGTGACCAGTCAGATGGGATTACATCCGTCTCCCAGATTTTAGCCAGAATATTAGTCAATCTAATCGCTAAAATTGGGACACCATATTTAAAGACCTATGGAGCCAATTCATCTGGACCAGCTGCTCTTCCTCGTTTCAGATTACTTATAGCCTTTTGAACTTCAAGTAGGGTCGAGGGGCCTACTTCAATGTTCCATTCAGGTTTTCTGGGAATAGTGGGTAGTTGTGGAGTAGCTGAAGGCCAGTTGAACTGCTCCTCAAAGTGTTCTGCCCATCGTTCTAAACGTCCGGGCTGAGAGCAGATAAGGGTTCCGCCTTTTTCCGATATCGTTTCATTTACACTTGACTTATTAATTCCAGTTTCTTTTAGTAGTCTGAATAGCTGCCTGATGTTGCCTACAGCCACTGTCTTTTCCATCTCTTTTGCTTTCGTTGCCCACCACTGCTCACGATCGTTTAGTTAACCTAGATCTAATTTGTTTACGCCCTTCGTCGTGTTCAGAGCCTGATGGGATGAGTTTACACGAATCCATCAGTGAAATAGACTTAGAAGAAAACCACTGGTTTTTTGGAGGCCTATGGTTTAAATTACTAATAGATGTGACTGCTGTTTCCACAACTGTTCGTATGTATTTCCAAACAGCATCTGTGTCAGTTTTGTTTACAGAACTGCCTAGATGTTAACTCAGTTGTTTTTGGAATTCGCATTTGGCTTTCTCGTCCTCCAGTTCAATTCTAATGGGTCTTCTTAGTGTAGTTTTCTTGCGTCCATTGAGGCGCAGACAAATGCGCGCTCGTATTGAAGCGTGATCGGAGTCTAAACAAGTATTCCAATACGAGCGACAATCTTCTATCGAGCCTCTCCAACTATGACTGATGACAATATGGTCTATTTGAGTCCATCGTTGGTTTGGTGCAGGTGGTCGCCATGTTAGACGGTGTGATTGATGCATGTTGTATTTCATCGGAGAGTCTTGCTTTTCCCTTTGTGTATGTTGAGACCTACTACTGCTGAGGCTGCTGCTTCACTGGTGGTCTCCTCCTGCATTTGTTGTTGCGTGTGTGATAGAAGAGCCAGATCATCTGCAAAGTTTAGATCGTCCAGCTGCATCCTACCTGTCCACTGTATCCCGTGCTTTCCTCCAGATGTTGACGTCTTCATTATCCAGTCGATCACCAGGAGAAAGAGAAAGGGTGAGAGTAAGCAACCTTGTCGCTCTGGTTGTTAGAAGGTGCATCGGCCTCATGACTTCCGAAGGAACTCGGCTTTCATCATGAGACGTCATTATTCCTTCTACTCCCGGGGCAGAGTTTAAATGGTTTGAATAATTTTTTGTGGTTAACGTTTTTTTAGCGAGTTGGTTTTCTACGGGATGGGGTCGCTAACCCTATGCCCAACCCTCCTCCTTTACCCGAGCTTGGGACCGGCAGTAGCCCCCGGAGTAGCTACAGACGGAGTTAAAACCAAATTGGTGGATACAGTTTTTTTGTAAATTAAAATTCCAACTAATCAATTAAATGTAAACTATTTTTTGTCTTTTTCGTTTTGGTGGTTCAGTAAATTTTATTTCACTTGCTTTTTTCTGCTTATATTTCCATTCCATGTTCCTTCATTTATCTATAGTTATCAAGCAATTTTCAAGAAACGAGCTGTCAGTCCAGATGAACGTAGTGAAGATGAATTTTTAAATAGTACATCTTTTACTCGTTCAACTCGAAATCGCAATGGATCTCGAAGGAATGTCGCAATATCTGACACTGATGATGAGCAACAATCGAGTGAAGCATCTTCAGATGTAGATATCCGTTCTAATAATCAACGTCCAATTTCCCGTCGACGTAGTGCTTCACGATCAGCGTCTGCTCTTAGTTCACAACTAAATAAATATCCAAAACGCAGACGACGACACCTGTCTGATCAGGAGGATACTTCAGAAACGGAACAAATGGACGAAAAATCTCAATCTTTATGTTCACACATTCTTGACGCTGTGTATAAGCACAAACACTCATGGCCATTCAGAAAACCTGTTGATAGAAGCCAGGTAGCGTTTTAAATTATTGCTTGAATGTTTTGCTTTCATTATAGACATTCTTTTTGGCCATTTCAATTCCATCCATTCTTTGGTCATCAGAGATTTTTAATTTAGTATAAAATGCATTTACGTTACAAAAGTTCACGAGCTCCTGTTATCATATGCGTTTCCAATTGATTTTTTCTGTCAGTTAAAGCCACAATAATATTTCATTTCAATAATACTATTCTGAATATGTTATGGCAAATTTTGTTGTGGAATGAGGTATGTGTACTACCTTTTCATTCCACTGATTCTTTTTCAAATGTTTTATAAAACGTTGGTCTTCATATTACTCCTTAGAAAGATTGTTTAGTGAATAAAGAAACAACATTGTTGTGTTTTATGGTCTGATTTTTTTCACTATCACGCACATGATACTTGAAGAACTAGGTATGGGAAGATAGGAGATATGGATTGGGTCCGATGCTTCACTGTCAAAGTCGAGTAAGTATATGCCGAACTCGTGCCTATTTTTATAGGGTCCCGTAATAACCTAGTCGACGATATACAAAGGCCTGGTTTAATAATTCACTTACTAAAGCTTCTTCACATATTTCTCACCGTGTACTTTTAAGATAACTGTATATAATAGTACTCACAGCTTCTTTCGTCCTATGAATTTTATTTGTATCTTCAATGATTTTCGTTAGTTTTCATCATTCATGTCGTTTGAATTTATTATCAACTGAATTCATTATTCCCAATTGATGGTTTCTCAAAATATTCGTATTAGGTTCCCGATTATTATGAAATTATCACCGATCCTATCGATTTGTCCATGATGCGTGATTGGCTCTCTAAAGGACGGTATAACACGGAAACTACCAGCGCAGGACTGAAGAAACTAGTACATGATTTGGGTACTATGTTTTATAACGCCGAATTGTATAATGCTGCTGACTCAGACATTTGGTTAGCTGGAGAGCAGTTAGAAAACTTTGTGAAGAATCAGTTCGCTTATATAAATACAGGTGCGTTTTTGTGTTCTGTTTCTTTGGTTTCAAATCCCCGGAAATATGCTTTTATTTTTTCTTATTATGCCTCCGTCTTATTATTGTGTGACTTTACCTTCGCTCACTATTACTTAGATTAGGCAAAAAACGAATCCGCAACTACATTTGCATTTTGTACTTGAGTTGTTTCTCAGTAGTCCAGTCACTTGACTTTCTACCACTTCATTTTCTTCAGTCAAACAAAATTATCTAGTATAAAGGTGAAAGTAACCAAGTACGAGTTCGGGTACCTAGCTTTTCAGTTATACTTTATGTGAAGCTTAGTATATGCTATCCTAGCTATCCAGTAGAAGCAGATTGGGCAGAATTCAAACCTCTAGACTAGTGGGTAATTGTCAATTGCTTCAACCATTAAGGTCTTCCTACAACGTAAAATTTAAAACCTGATATGTAAATAGATAGTTTTTACATCACTATTATCTATCTTTTTAGAAGCTCTTAGACTCTGACATTTTATTCCGCTCTTTAAGTTGTTGTCTTTCCAATGTATTTAAAAATAATCATTTTATGTTTATGCTAATAAATCCCATAATATTTGTTGTTATCGACAGCATTAATCTTTTGATTTCGTGAACAACTCCGATTTCTTTCTAAAAACGTTTTGTAGAATAATTACCTCAATAACGAGTCATATTAGTTACTGAGTTAAAAAGTGCGTCAATATTCTCGACTATAGTTGTTAACTTGACGTGGCGATCGGGTTTGCTTGTCTTGATTATTCCTCAAGCCTTATTGTCTGGAATGCTTACTACCTTAGTTACTACAATGTCAGGCTGATCCATTGAAGAAAGCAGAACTTCAGGTTCCGGCGGAGAATTCTTACTGATGACTGTATTGAGGGGTGTATTGGCAGTGAGATGTTGTCTTCAAATAACCTGGGTTTGCAGCGATGTCGCCTTCGCACAACGGGAGGAGGGAACACAAGATTGAAAAGCAGTAATAATATACATCTGCTTAGTCTAATGTTGTTTAGGAACAGAGAAATATAAGGCACCAATTAATAATTGAAGTGAAACTTTCCAATTCGGGAAATGTAAAAGTTACATGAATTAAATGCTACATTATGAAATAAGCATAATGATATCTTGAAAATAACTTTCAAAGTTTGTCATTTTTTACTTGTCTCGTCTCAATCATTGTTCTTATATGTGTGTTTCATATCTTTCGTTTAGATGTTATCTACTCTAGACCAGCACTTGGTGATACATAAATATTAATAATCGTATATGGTTAATTACGTTTAATACTTTTGTGGAAATATCTGTTTCTGAATATTCTGTGTACGCATAAAGCAATGATCTAAGTCAAGTTTGATATGTGTTTCTACTATCTTCTATTAAACTAATTTACAATGATTCAATTTAAACAACACATAAAATCTTCTTATTCATTTATTATTATTATTTTGACTATCTGCTTATTCTCTATTGTCTTTTTTTTTACTTTGTCAGTGGATATATAAGTGTATGCATTTAAAATTTAGAAAGAGAAATATATCTATCTATCTATTTTCTAGTGTTTTTGTGTCAAACATTTTTTTATTATTAAAAAAAGGCTGTATTCGAATTAATAACATTGAGTGAAACAGTTTTGAATATTTTTCTCTGGTATGTTTTCCTCCAACTTTTTCGACTTCTATTCTTTGAATATATCATCGAGTTACTTGCTCAAATTTTTCAATGTGTGCTTCCTTTGTGTATATGACCGAGAATTGTTTAATTACTTCATTTCTCCGTATATTTCAAACATTATTACACTATTTCTTTTCTCTTATTCTCCCCTTTGTTGTTCACGGTCTTCATGATATATATGTGCAGGTTTGTACAGCCTTATTATACTCTCTCTCTCTCTCTCTCTCTCTCTCTCTCTCTCTCTATATATATATATATATATATATATATATATATATATATATATATATATATATATATATATATATATGAGATTGATTCTTGTAAAGGTATATTTTATTTGTCCCTTTTGATGTATATCTGTGTCTACAAAATTGTCATGACGTATTTGTAGTGTAACACACATTTATTGAAATTCCCTCTTTAAAAAAAATAACTTGATTTTTAATAAAAACAAAGTATTCCTATTATTATCGGTTGTGAATTAATTAAAAGATAGTATATACACATATCATTGTTATTTTTAGCATTTACGTGTTACTGAAATAAATCATTTTAAACAAGAAATTAATAATGTGATAGAAATATCTGAAAAAACAGCTGACATGACATAGGCCTATGATATTGATAAATATTAGGTCAAAGTACTGCACTACGTCAGGACAGCAACGTAAGATCAGCTTTATATCGTGTATAGAAGCATGAATAATAGCAACGACATTGATGAAATATTCTATGAGAAAGGAGAAAAATAAGGATCAGTGTATATTAAATAACTTGTTTAGTCAGTCACCAGCTTTTACAATGTTACTATCGACTCGATTAATGTTCACAGATTTCATAAGCGTATTATAGATAGGATTAATTTTACTTGTAATGTGTTGAACTGACTTAAGATTTGTGTATGTTACTCGCGACATTTATTTCTTCATTATTCTAAAATAAAGTCGGTTGATCGTTAAGAAGCGTACATTTTACGTAACAGATGTTAGCGCGATCCTGAAAATTTCTCGTAGTAGACAAGACAAGCTCAGGAAACATTAAGAAGTATTTTATTCAATCAGCGTTTGATTAGGAGTTTTGCTAGAAACATCGCGAAAATGAAAAGTCACTTGTAGAGTTTCTGATCGGCTGATTACTACACTGCTACTATGTTTAGTAGTATTGTAGAATTTTCAGGAAAACCCAAGGACTTCTAAAATACTATAAAAACCCTATATTTTCTGTACATAAATGAACCTTTGGAGTAAAGTGCTTCTCGTATGTTTTGCTCCTTTTCTCTCGTGTTCAAGTCGCTGTGTAGTTCTAGCTTCGAGGTTACGAGAGTGGCTTACGATCCGAGTATAGCGTTCAATCAGCAACATATACCACAAATCTTTTCATTTTGTAAGACTTATCCTTTGTCATTATGGAACAAACTTCAGTGAGTGGTTCATTCATTGACGTTACTATCAACTTTCAGGTTTATTAGTTCCAACTAAAGATCACAATTGGTCCCTTCAGTGTTTAAAAAGTGAAGCAATCAAAAAGCTCTGATCCTAAAATGTGAGAATTCATTCTTGAGTTCGGTATTTTGGCAATCGTAATAGTGCTCAGATCCTGGCGGAACTGTCTTTGGCTGCTGTTAGGAAATAAGTGTGGTTGTGTTGCGTACAAAAGATTGACTTCATAGATTATGATTTTGATATAACGTTCTATATTCCTCTAAACCAATTTTAAATCATTTTCATTCTGACTATGCACATATTTCTACATTATGTAGTAGGTTTCATAGAACCCAGTGGAAAACCGTAATTCTCATTTCTGGTGCAGCTAAATACGTAATCTCTAGGATAGTCCGTAGAAGCTCATACTAGTTGAATTTTATGTCGGGAAGCTTAAACAAATTACTAACTTTCCAGTTCAGAATATAAAAAATATATATACCTATTGTTTAACTTTACTAGAATAATGTTGATGTAATAGAGTAATAGACCTGATCTTCCAGCCTAGCTATTTATTAACACAAAAATGCATAATCGAAAGCTTAAAAATACTTCATGCAATACCACAAGTAGTTTGGTGAATATATTTGTGTGAGTGATCAATCAAATAATGCGTTGAACGACTAATTTTTGTCTTAAATAAAGAATACTTGATTTCTTCATAATCTAACGAACAAACCGTTCAACTTCACAAATATCACTAATAAATTATTGAACAAAAAAAAACAGAATTTTTGTTCTTACTAAGATAGGAAGATATGTTCGTCGAATATTTATATAATGACTTAGTCGAATTAAGAGATTATCCAATAAATGTTTTTTTTAATGCTGGTAAATCAACTCAACTGATTACAAGATGAACTGTTAAAATAGTCTAATCGATTATCGCTGCTTTTAAACATAGTGAAAGCTGAATTGTTGAAGATTGACAGTGTTAGCTGAAGTTTTGGGTATTCGTCGATTGGCTATTAAATTGTGTAGAGGTGTTTCAGTGATTAGAACATTAGACTTTCAACTACCAATTCGTAGATTTGAACTCTCCATCTACTTCGGTTCAGGAAACCTAATAGTACCACTAGTACTCATGTAGTGTAAATCGAAACCCATTATGCTAATCTGTACCTGGTAAAGGTATTTAAACAGTTTTTTATTACAAAGTAGATATCTTTTCCCCTTCATAGAAATGAATAGCCTTTGAATTCAGCCAACTAATATATTATCTTAGTGGTGCAAAAGTATGTTAGTGGTATTTTGTTCTTTTTCCCGAACCATATAATCGCGAAGATATAATAGTCGGCCTGTACAGCGTTGGACAAACTTTAAAAAGACCATCGTTTTCGAGATTTTCCAAAATTCGGATTCTTTTTCAGTCAAACTCGATCTATTGATAACGGGTGTGGACTGGGAAATATGTATTACGACATTATACATATTTCAAAGGTAAATAAAGTTAATAATAGGTAATTTATAATGACTAGTTTCTGAACATTCTCTTCACGTATATTATTATAAGTTCAAGAATTTACGAGCGTTTTTATTTCCAGTCCAATTTTTTTTAATGTTTGCATGAAATGAATTCTAGTTACAGGGTGTCCATCACTGGTGACTGTCAGATAATTGAAATCGGAATCAGTGACTTCGTACTATAACAATAAGATCATTACATAATAACTGTCACGTAACGAAAATGTTCATGAGAATATAGGATTACAGCAAAAACAGTATAAATAATCACATTCCAACTACACCGATAATATAAGATATGAACAGAGAAACAAAAATCAAGATATATTATGATTAGTAGCAATCCATTTACTAAGTCTTCCCCAACAGATGAAAAAAAGTATCCAAAACTACTCTTCAACACAATTGTCAAGATTGTAAGCTTGAAAGTCTTGACCTTTTGTGTTTAAGAGATGTGTTAGAATCTCATTAGAAAAATGTTATGAACTATGATCGATGTCTTTAAACGTTGCGATTCTTTTTCCCTCATGTCTACTATAGACTAAATGTGACAAACTTGAAACTGAGTATTCCAGATCTACAAAATGAGTTGCACCCCAAGCGAATCATATTTTGATAAATAATATACTATGGGTAATTTTGAAGGATTATTAATTTATATTATGGATGATTTGTTTATTTTGAGGTAAATTAGAAATAGACAGCTTACATTGTTGGTCAATGACGAATAAATTGCGTACCTGTTGGAAATCAGTTGTTAGTTATTTCTAATTCATTAAAGTGGACTCCATATTCTAATCATCACAAAGTATTCCTTAGGCTTAGTTGGAAGACCACACTAACAATTATAGTCTTGAATATAAGATATCGAATATGGGCGATGTTTGAAAAATGTGTTACAAATTACTACAATGAACAGTCACATTTTAATCAGCTGCGTGTTATTTCAGCAAGTATAAGGGATATTTCCAATCATCCGTGACTCATACGAACAAACTAAAATACAAAACTTTTAGAGATTCCAAAGATGTTTTTGAAAGTAGATACTTACTTACTTACTTACTTACGCCTGTTACTCCCAATGGAGCATAGGCCGCCGACCAGCTTTCTCCAACCCACTCTGTCCTGGGCTTCCTTTTCTAGTTCTACCCAGTTCTTGTTCATTATTCTCATGTCTGTCTCAATTTCTCGGCGTAATGTGTTCTTTGGTCTCCCTCTTCTCCTTTGACCTTCAGGATTCCATGTGAGGGCTTGTCTTGTGACGCAATCAGGTGATTTCCTCAAGGTGTGCCCAATCCACTTCCAGCGCTTCTTCCTGATTTCTTCCTCTGCTGGAATCTGGTTTGTTGTCTCCCACAGTAACTTGTTGCTGATAGTGTCTGGCCATCGGATCCAAAGTATTTTGCGTAGACAGCTGTTAATAAACACTTGTATCTTCTGGATAATGGCTTTCGTAGTTCTCCACGTCTCCGCCCCATACAGTAGAACTGTCTTGACATTTGTATTGAAAATTCTAACCTTGGTGTTGGTTGACAATTGTTTTGAGCTCCAGATGCTTTTCAGTTGTAGGTATGCTGCTCTTGCTTTGCCGATCCGCGCCCTCACATCTGCATCTGATCCACCGTGTTCATCAATGATGCTGCCCAGATATGTAAAGGTTTCCACATCCTCCAAAGCGTCTCCGTCAAGTGTAATTTGATTGTTGCATATTGTATTGTATCGAAGAGTCTTGCTTTTCTCTTTGTTTATATTGAGACCTACTGCTGCTGAGGCTGCTGCTACACTGGTCGTTTTCTCCTGCAATTGTTGTTGCGTTTGTGATAGAAGAGCCAGATCATCCGCGAAGTCTAAATCGTCAAGCTGCATCCTGCCTGTCCACTGTATCCCGTGATTTCCTTCAGATGTTGACGTCTTCATGATCCAGTCGATGACCAGAAGAAAGAGAAAGGGTGAGAGTAAGCAAACTTGCCTAACACCAGTCTTTACTTTAAAAGACTCAGTGAGTTGTCCTCCGTGGACGATTTGGCAGTTTAGTCCATCATAGGAGTTCCGTATGATATTGACTATCTTCTCAGGCACGCCGTAGTGTCGAAGAAGCTTCCATAGTGTCGTCCTGTCCACGCTATCAAATGCCTTCTCGTAGTCGATGAAGTTGATGTACAGTGATGAGTTCCATTCGATTGATTGTTCCACAATGATCCGCAGAGTTGCGATTTGATCTGTGCACGATCTATCCTTACGAAATCCAGCTTGTTGATCTCGAAGTTGGGCGTCCACGGAATCCTTCATCCTGTTT